ACAGCACCATCCAAGGACGACGAAACGATACACAGTGGGGTGTGTCATCGAAGGGGTGAATCTTTTGGAATCGGCTGAGACAAAATTTTTCCTTGGCACACGGATTAATGATAAGCTTTCAGGTTTGTCGCACCGCACCAATGTTGATGTTCGTGTAGCGCAAGCAGTTTTTCTTTGATAGACCAAGAACCGTATTTGATGCTAGCGCCACCTATTTTACGCACTGTTGGTATCCTTCAACACGCCTCAAACCTGCCACTTCCACACTACTGGTACTTGCTCGATTAAGTATGAAATAGATACCATGAAGAACACCAGTAAAACATTGCCAAACAGCCTTTAAGCTGACTTTTTAGTAATAAACTTTTTTTTTGTAAAACCCAAAGCTGTGCAGTTATGAGAATGCTCTAACAGACCGGGTAAGGTTCAAGTTTGTTATTGCTATTGCATCATTGTGATGTTGATTTGCAATTAATGTGCTTTTTGCGTGGGAGATATGGGTTTATTAGTTCAGTTTTGCCGGTGCTCAAACTTTTCTTTCGAACAACCACTTGCATAAGCATGCCGAAGGCTACACGGTCGCGCACAAAACGTTTTGTGATAGGCCACCCGGCTCCGCTATCCCACCATCAACCGCCGACTACGGAAAAGTCTTGAGCTACATCAGGTGGCTGAGCGAATCGAAGAGGAATCTCACTAATACCATCTTCAAGACCACGACGGTAGAAATCATGGTACTGTGGACCAACGAAGCAATCGCTTTTCATGATCTAAACTAAGTGACGAGATTGATCGTGAGAGATTGATATCATCCCAACAGAGCTATAAGCAAGAAATCAATGAAAGAAAGAAAGTAACACAGCAACGCCGCCACCGCGAAATTCAACAAGCTTCTTGATGTCACGAAATGCAAGTGCAAGCTTCAGTGCATCTTACCATGTCCAGTTGCCTGCACAGTGTATCAGGAGGAGGTTGCCGTAAAGGGCCAGTGCAGGCACCGGAAGCTTGCCCAGGGGTCACGTGACCGGGATACGACTGTGACCAGGGAGGCCCACGAGGTGCGGAGGATGGCCAGACAACTCCATGGGCATCGTGGCTCGGCCGCCAATCAGGCGGTGTCTGCTGCTGAACCTGAGTCGCCTTCCCCGCCGACTGCTGAGTCCGCGTCGCCTGCTAAGCCAGCGCTGGCTGCTGGTGCTGACCCCGAGCCTACTCCGGGACCAAGCGGTCTTACCGCTGGCTAGTCAGCCGGGAGCACGGATTCTTACATGGTCTCGTACATGGTAGAAGGCGGCGCCGACGCCAATTGTTCGTTCCGGTTGAGACCACTTCCACTGTAGATTATAACGTTAACACCGCACAGGCGGTTGACACCTACGGTGGCTCGAACCGGGCCGCTGCTGCTATCATCAACGCCTTTCAACAAGACAGCAGAGACGGACTGGCTTCTTGAAATCAAAAATCGTAGATCCTGAGAAGACCTGCCGCGCAAGAGACAGAGCGAGAAAGGCGACGGCTCGTTAAAAGTTTGAAGCAATCTATGAGTCAGGTTTGACCATCCTGTACTCCGACGGCCACGAAGGCAAGAGTTACATGAGTCGCACGGAGCCAAACGAATGCCGTCGAAAAACACGTGGTTGTCTTCACTGAGCCAGGCAGCCGCTACGGGACATCACTGGGCTAGGCAGCCGCCACGCGACTCATTTTACGTCCGAGTTCGGCCGCACCCTGCACTTGTTCAACGAGCTACACTCCGTGAGCCTGCAGTGCGATGGTCACATCAATGCGCTCGGCTGCGATGGCACGGCCGTCAACACCGAAACGATAGGCGACGTGTTCCGGCTGTTTGAGCTGGCCACCGAGCCATCCATTCGCTGATTCATCTGCCATCGGCACAACAACGAGGTAAACCTCCTCCATCGGCTGCTGAGCCTGGATGGCACGGCCATGGGATCGAATTTTTTTTTTCTGGACCCATCAGCAAGACTTGTGCCGGAGGGGTCTGGGACGGGGACGCTGTGGTGTTCAAGCCTAGGTCGGGGCCCGTGCCAGACCTGCCGGTCGACTAAGCACTAACCAGTAGCTGCTGTACTTTCTGGCCTCCGGCTTTCAGAACGACTCTGTCTGAAATACGGCGGCCGAGCGGTGGATCGGGCCATCCATCGAACCATGTCAGGTGAATAAGAAACCGCATTATCTTCAAAGTGATAGCAATGAGTGTTTAAAGTTCATCAAGTATCAATTGATATCACGTGCGCTCACCGTTGGGCATTTACTTATTGTCATACCTTGTGCCCTGTTTTGTCGCATCATTTGCTGGTTGGTTCATGCTTACTAGCATCTTTGTTTATGTGTATTTCGTCACATTTAAGGACTCGGGATATCGGCATAATTACGTACACTAAAAGGGCGCAATAATTTTGCGTGATCTGATGCTCAGTTCGCAGCGAATCGTTCTAATGCATTCGCTTTTCTTGCCAGACTGTTGGCACTAGCCGCTCGCCTGCCCCTAGTCCACATCTCTACCAGGACCTCCAGCAGCGCTCTCAAGGACCTCGTTCAGTGCATGGTCGGCTGCTATGTGCCGGTATGGTCTACCATCCGGCGAAGCAGCGGCTGCGACTTTGGCTTACGTAACTTGCTCCGAAGCATTGCGGTGTTCCGCGACCTACCGCAGCACACATAATGCTCCAGCGTAGTGGGTACTGGGTCCGTCCGAAACAGCTGCTGCTGGACATGGTGTGTGATGAGAACCTCATGGTCCGCGAACAAGTGGTTCCGATCGTCGCACCGCTCGTGAGCAGCAAACCGAGGGTATTCTTCAGCCCAAGGTCTTCGCCATCTCAGCGGTAAACTTCGAGGCCGTGAGGTACACCGAACTGATTCCCTGGCACGGGCCAGTCACACAGCCTCCACTGTGAGACCTCAGCGACTGGGAGCTCCGGGGCAAAAGACAGGCACCGCTGGCCATCTCGCCCCGTCTGGCTCGCACTAGGAGCGCGACCAGTGCCGCACTGCCGGGGACGTCTGGGGCTGGAGCTGGAGCTCCGGCAGCATGTGTAGCCCAGCTGCGACGGTAGTTCTGCTACCGCGCGATCTCTGCCAACACGCGTTTTGGGTTTCCAGTCTGTAGGTGTGATTCTGTTTGGGCCGGTGCATCGAATACACAGGCTCGGCGAGGAGCAAGATGTGCATGGGTCACCCTACCGCCTCCCCCCCCCCCCGCCCTAGTCCGTGGTACAGGTTGCAGAACTTACTGCATGTTTAGTTGTACACCAGACAATATATTCTGAACCACATGCTATGCATAGTTTTGTTTGTATCACGTGAGTTGTCTACGAGAAGTGAAAGTATAAAGCAATAGTAACCAGCATACTCATACAACGAGTTCATACTCAACAGCACATAAAGTTTGCGCCAAATGGCAATCAATCGGGTAATGCCCGCTCCGCATAACAGACCTTAGACCAGGATATTCTCGTACGACGACTTAAGGAACGCCCGGTAGCATCATTTCTGTACGCAGAGGTATCTTGTTTCGCTTGCGACCCACGGCTTGGTGTTACCTGCGGCGGCGGACGCCGCCCAGCGTTGGGTGACTGCAACGCCAGGCGTCGATTTACGGCGAGATTTCGATCGGCTCGCGCCTCACGAATTCAAGTTTTTGGGAAGAACTTTTGCTATGCCGCGTACTTTTGGACTCCTGCGCCAAATAATTTCTTTGTCTCACTTAGTTTTGTTGCTGATGGCACACCCTAGTACAGAACACTATCCCAGGACGACGACACTGTACTCAGCACCATCGAAGACAACGAACTGTTATCAGCACCATCCGAGGACGACGAAGCTGTACACAGCACCATCCGAAAACGACGCTGTACACAGCATTATCAGAGGACGACGCTGTACACAGCATCATCAGGGGACGACGAATCTGTACACAGCATCATCCGAGGACAACGAACTGGACTCAGTCGGCACCATCCGAGGACAATGAACTGTGCTCAGCACCATCAGAGTGCACCAACGAACTGTACTCAGCACCACCCGGGGACAACACGCTGAGGTGGTCGGCCGGCAACCAGTCAGCTTCCTGAACTGATGTCCACGTGACGGGATGGCCTGTCATGACGGGATGGCGCAATGTACCGTGACGGGGTGGCGCAACCTACCGTGACGGGATGGCACGACCTATCGTGACGGGATAGCGTGGTCATACCGCCAATGAGCGAAATCCATAATCGTTTCCGTGGCTGAAGGAGGCATGCGTCAAGGCAGTGGCGGTCAGAGCTGTCAATTCCATCCAACACAGCTCGACCCAGCCGGGCATCAGACGGCTTCTCCCAACAGCAGCTACCGTTCCTAATGCTTCCAACTCGGCGGTGCCTGCCTGCCTGGCTCAGTGATCGGCTCTGAGCTCCGAACACTGAGCTTGCTCCGCACTCCAAGCTAGACGCGGGCCGGGGCGACGTTCCAGGCCGCGCACGTCCTCGGGCAACACGCGAGACACGTGAACACCGGCGCGCTGGGTATAGCTTTATACCTGACGGGCCGCGCGGCTGGCGAGCCGTCTGGAGGGAGGCGCGCTCATGGGTCGCGCGGTTCGCGGGCCGTCTGGAGCGAGGTGCGCTCACGGTCCGCGTAGCTGGCGAGCCGTCTGGAGCGAGGTGCGCTCACGGGCCGCGCGGTTGGCGAGCGGTCTGGAGCGAGGTGCGCTCACGGGCCGCGCGGTTGGGGAGCCGTCTAAAGCGAGGTGCGCTCACGGGCCACGCGGTTGGGGAGCCGTCTAGAGCGAAGTGCGCTCACGGGCCGCGCGGTTGGGGAGCCGTCTAGGGCGAAGTGCGCTCACGGGCCGCGCGGTTAGCGAGCCGTCTAAAGCGAGGTGCGTTCACGGGCCACGCGGTTGGGGAGCCGTCTAGGGCGAAGTGCGCTCACGGGCCGCGCGGATAGCGAGCCGTCTACAGCGAGGTGCGCTCACGGGCCGCGCATGAAACGCCGGAGCTGTCTTTGGCTTTATTGTTACAATGACTGGCTCCCAGGCCATGGTTAGTGATCGGAATAGTCAGATGCGGCATATCCTAGGACTAGTCATTGCAGACGCCAAGCCTCAACGTGATTCATACTTATCCATGAGTTCTTAAACGCAACAAAATATGCGTTTTGGATGAGAAGGAATGTCACATATCCTCAAATACACCAACCTAACCCTTAACAGTAAGATTGAACGTATGCGAATAACAGAAACGGATGAAAATGAAAGTCATCTTGAATCAGTCAACAGTTCGGCCACACCTAATATTGGTTAATCCACTCCCAGTGGGCAATGACAATTTCCAACCATTTCCACAGCTTATACAGATCACAGTACGAATGCTGGAGCAATAGTGAGTGTTACAACGCTGACGCAAGCATGCGCTAGTTAATTTAACACTCCAGTAAGCCATGAGACTGCGATGCGATGTACAGCAAAGCATTGTGAATGACAATAGAATCGAAGGGTTAAGTCTGGATTTACAAGGCAGCAACTGACACTTGGCATGACTGATCTCAACACATCCTAAGAAGCATACGCTCCACATCATTCCAGCAAAGGTTAATGATAGACATGCACGTTTTGGTTTCGCTGGCATGACCCGTCAACTCCGCGCGACAGCGGTCGGTCGAGACCGCGACCGTCACCGTCACGCCCGGGCGGCCAACACTGCGCGGGCGTCCTCACAACCGGGCCGACGTGTAGCCAAATCTCCCCCGACCAGAGTTCAGCCGGGCTTCAACCACCACAAAGCCAGCACTCCCTCCGTAGGTCGCACAACCGGCCGGATGCTGGCAAAGGTCACACCGCTCCGTCCGACATACCGCACAATCTCACAAGGCCACCGTCCTCCAGTCGGCCCGCGTGCCAGTCCTCCTCAGTCCCCACAGCCGTCCTCAATCCTGCGCAGCGCCCGGTGCCGGGTCGCCGCCCTCCACGGCCACCGCGGCCCGCCTCCGCAGCGCCCCCTCCAGGATTTCGGTGTAGTAGTCGCCGAACACAGCGCGGTTGTGCGAGACGAGCCGCAGGAGCTGGCCGCCGAGGCGCGCAAGCTCGGACGACGTCGACGACAGGCCCGCCGGCACGCGCATCGGCGTCGCCGTCGTCGATCCGATGATCACCGCCAGGAACTCACGCACGCGGCGCGCTGTCGGCGGGCGCAGCGTCAGCGGAGGCGAACGCCGAGGGACAGAACGGCACGGGGGACAGACAGTATCCTGGCGCCGTATCACTACAGCAAAACATGACTTGTTACATCAATGCACCATTCTGTCTGAATGTCGCGTACACACATCATCATCTGGATCGTGAGTCGCTTTGTAGCTAATCGCGCCCAGCCTCCTTGCGTTTGACTGTCGCGAATCTCACACATGAACCAATGTAATTGAACACCGGTACACAATCTCAATAAAATATTTACCAAATCAATACCAAATCAATGCCAAATAAAATCCCAACCCCGCCAGACTACCAAGTGCCACGAGACGTGCGTGCAGGGATGCCCTCGCCACGGCGGCGCCGAGCCGCGCGGTAACGCCGCGCCGTGCCGAACGGCGCCGCCGCACCCTGGCGTGCTGATGGCTGGAATCGAGGCCGGCCGGGCGATGACGTGGAGAACAACAGCGAGCTGGGCTGGGATTTCCAGCGCTCCCCCTCCCCCTCCCGCCGGCCAAAGCGGCGCCGGCCGCCCCACCCCGGGGTCAGATGGCGCCCGGAAACGCCCGAGGGCCGCCGGCACCGGCCCGGTCAGGGGGGGGGGGGGGGGGGTTGGCCGGGCGGGCCGTCACAGGTGAATGAAATCGGGCTGGATGGCGCGACAGGCCCATTAGCAGGCCATCAAGGGACGACAGGTTTTGTAGGGCTTTCCATTGTGCTGCTCATGGAAGATCACCGCCAAAGGAATGATTTATGTGGACAGCAGCACGGAAGAAAGCGGCGTCTTCTTTGATGTGAATGCGATCCATCAAGATCATGACGACGCAGTGTGAAAAGCGGTACAAAACAACATCCTCCTCGCTTCATCACACTTAGCGGTATGCCTGAAGGATGGGAGAGCCCCATAGTTACCGCAAAAATAACCATGAATGGCAAGATGCATGTGACCACTTCAGTTGCATTCTCACTTCTCCTCAATGAAGTAAACAGCATGAATTACAACACCATCACAATCTGCAACTCATTACCACGGCCCTATACGGCTCAGCATCATGCAGCCCTTCAAGCCGGCAAGACTCCACCGCACTTTTCCACCAGCCCATCATATAGCTGTTTACGTCGGGCGTACTACATGGACACTACAGCACGGCAGCGCTGAGTGAGCGCAGAGCAGAACGGGACAGCACCGCCTTCGACCGTCGGCACTCAGACACGCTATGAGCCGATCCCAGATCGAAAATGCGCCCGCATGACATAATCGGTGAAACATGCCACAGCTCCGGTGCCGGGAGCGACGCTGGCTTACGCCCCCCGGTCACGGTGACTGAATATTGCATCATTAAAGCTAAGTGGCGCCTGCCCGAAAACATAATTTCATAAATTTCAAATAACTTTGTGATATTCTGCCCAAACAATATCCTATCCGACCTCGCGGTACCCTTAATGTGAACGCGAGAGCTGCAATACTGACAGCCCATGCATCGTCTAATACCAAAACGCGCGCGAGAACTACTGTTTCTTCATTTTCACTCAACACTTTTCGCCGACCTTTTCAACGCCACCCCTCGACCCACGTAAGCTTAAGGACAAGCGCCGCAGACCGCCGCCATCCCAGATCAGCCACCGCGGCAGGGATCCGGCCATGGTACCTATCGGCCACGACCGGACCGGGCTCGCCACACCACAGAGCTGCCCTAGCCCTGAATAGCCGGCGGCAGCCACGTCAACAAGCCAAACACACACCGACCTCCTGCGCGTCCGGCGTGTTTCCAGAGCACAAACGGCAGTTCGTTTCTCTTTCCCATAACAAAGGCTTGTCCAGCTTGAATGCAGGGCGTGGTCTTCAAAATCTTTGAAGCAAAAACAAGGTTTCTTTGGCCAGCGTTATTGGCTTTGGCATACACAATAGAAAGCTCTGAATGAGCCAAACAACGTTGCTGTGGATGAAAACGCCTCATTTGATATTAGCTCAGGTTCATTTACGCCCAGTGCAGCAACGTCACTTTGTGTTACGCGGTAGCACGTGAGACACGGCGAGTCCACATTACTTATGCCAGGCTTGGGACCTTGCGAACCAAATGCCACCATATCACGGATTAAATGTCAGTTTATTTCGCGGAAGAATGTTGTTCATCTATAGGAGTGTTGAATAACTTAATGGAAACCTGAGTGACTCTCCGAACAACACCCGTACAGGTTTGCTCAATGCTGTTAACACAAAGCTAGGAACCACGAGATCCACTTATTTTTATATAACGAATTACGGTCGACAAAATACTGTCTAATATGACCTAAAACCATGCCGGCGGTTTTCTCTAAGTCTTTTCTCAACTTCCAAGATGGACAAGGGTTGAAATTGATTGATATTATGATGCATCTTGGCATAATTCAATGCAACTGAGGAAATTATCAGTAACAACGCGATCTGAAGGCCCGCCGTTCCCTGAACCGTGGGAGTCATAGCAATTTCCCTGAACCAAGGTGAGTCATACAATTTCAACAACATACGAACAATTAGCTCCAACATCAACATGCATGTAAGGGACCATCCAATGAGCATCATGACATATCCACTTCTTGTGGTGGATGATGCCCCAAATTTGGGACAGTTCTTTCACATGTGTTCTTCGATGCTCTTTCCAAACATATCTCGGCAGGTAGGAGATACCGGCTGAAGTGGCTTGTGTAGAAGTGAAAGAAGAAAAACAATATGAATTGCATGAATTTAATGAGAAAGTTCCAAACTTGAAGATATCTAATCAAGCATCAGATATGACGAAATAAGCTCATTTATACCTATTGTTATACCTTTAAGAGGCAAAGAGTGCTCTAGACAACACAATTTCTTTGTTTAGTAAAAATGCCCCACAATACGCCATTGCTAGATAACGTCATCGTACCTTTCGCAACATTCCTTGCGAGCCAATTGACGGCCTAGATAAGGCTGGTCGGCTTATCTGGAAATCGTACTCACGAACGCCCGATATGAACGACGCGACAATCATATTATGATTGGCCTTGATCGCTTTATGGCCAATGGAATGACAGGACTTAAATGACGTTATTATGGCGCAATGCATACCTGCGTGACTTCGAAAAAGTCTCCCCGAAAAAGTCTGCATATCTTCGCGGGCATGTAGCTCAGAAACTGGAAGGGTTTAGATCTTAAGAAGGACAGTGCTATGAACTGCACCGAATGATCTTCAAGATTGCTCCTTTAGTTCAAAACCCCATGCAAATGTGGAACAGTCACTTTAACTAAACCTGTACTTTTAACGAGCCTTAAATCGGCAGCAAGCATCGATCAGAAATGAGCTAAAACTGCACTACACGGGTTACACACACTCCAGAAAATAAGGATTGCACGTTGTGAGTCGTCAGAACATTTCGCCTACCGAGCACGGGGACGAGACCAAACTTCAGGCTTCGAAACTGTCCGAGGACCAAGACAGTGACATAACTCCGACCTCGGGGCCGCAACTAATAGCTTTTAAGTTTAGAACTGCCATGTCCAAGCCGACGCCCGTGGCTTCGAATGTTCGAAGCGAGAAGCCGGGTCCTAAGGTGGTGGTTGATAGCTTTCTAGACGCGAAGCGAAAGCCGACGTCAGCGACTTGGAACTCAGAAAACATGAAGCACTGCGGGGGTTAACACCAATTTAGAAAACATAAAGCGACGCCGGGGTTAAAATTCTGTCAGTTCAAAATACCGAACCTGAAGACATTTATTACATAGATGTGGTTTTGAGGCGTGTCAGCCACATCGCTTATTTGGACCTAACGGTTTTAGTGCAAAATGTCGTTTTGCGAAACCAAAGCTTTTTTCTGGGGCGCCCGGTCGCTTAACAGTTGTATGGGATCAGAAATTGTGAGCGTTTTAATCAGTGATTGAGGTGGGGAAGTTATTATCACGGAAAAAGGTTATGAATATCAGCCTCGTTCAGAGTGTTAGTTTACACATGACGTTTCATTCAGACATTCAATTATCCGGCTATCGTCAGCCATTAATTAGTCTTGAGAATGACGGGCTGGTGTTCGGATTTCAGCCATGCTTCAATCGCAGCCCTACAGTGTTGTGGATAAATTGAAATGAAAAGACGGGGAAGGCCGTGTCTGTTAAGTGAACACGCCGCTGCATTACAAAAAAATCACCACCACATACCCGAAGCCCTCTAGACCGAGATCGCACGAAACCGAAGCCGGAACCACAGCTCGATAACTGCTAGAATCCAAAGCTCAGGCCAACTGTACGCAGAGCATAAAAGCAAAACTGAAACCAACGGTTTAAACTGGCACGAGCAAAGCCGAAGTCAGCTAGCGGTGCAAAATGGTTCAAAGTCGAAGCCGGACCCAAAGCCAGTGGAGGAAAAACCGCATCTTCGCGAAGGCGAAACCGCCTTCGTCGCGATGCTTGCCCCCTTTCCACTGATGAGTTGGCAGCGCAGACTGTCAGTGCCGACCACGCCATTCCCGACTCACCAACCGGCGCGTGGTTCAACACGCCTTGCTCCGAACTCGTCCCAAGTCAGTGATCAGGACTTGTGCCAATGTCCGATAACCGTAACCATTTCGTTACTCAATGATGAAGCAGGCGTAGCGCTCACTCAATGAACATCTGCCCCGAGCTTACGTCGTTATCCATGCACTCGCATGCACTCACCGACGAATTTCCGTGCATCTCACGCCGCGATCTTTCCTATTCCCGCGATTGCCTCAAGTGGTAATCCCATACAATCATTTCGCTCTCTCCCATGATGCCCAGTGATGGAAGAACTATGGGTCTTATGTCATAACTTGCCATGCTCTTGCTTTCTCACCCGCGCTTACTGATGACTGGCTGCAGCGCCCCATGCCGTTCTCTCAGCCCCTGCTCTACCCGCACTAACTGATGAGCGGCTGCAGCACCCCATGCCGTTCTCTCAGCCCCTGCTCTACCCGCACTTAACTGGTGAGCGGCTGCAGCACCCCATGCCGTTCTCTCAGCCCCTGCTCTACCCGCACTTACTGGTGAGCGGCTGCAGCATCTCATGCAGTTCTCTCAGCTCCTGCTCTACCCGCACTGACTGATGAGCGGCTGCAGCACCCCATGCCGTTCTCTCAGCCCCTGTTCTACCCGCACTTACTGGTGAGCGGCTGCAGCACCTCATGCCGTTCTCTCAGCCCCTGCTCTACCCGCACTAACTGATGAGCGGCTGCAGCACCCCATGCCATTCTCTCAGCCCCTGCTCTACCCGCAATAACTGATGAGCGGCTGCAGCACCCCATGCCGTTCTCTCAGCCCCTGCTCTACCCGCACTAACTAATAAGCGGCTGCAGCACCCCATGCCGTTCTCTCGACCCCCACTCTCCCGACAGTCACTGATGAGCGGCTGCAGCATCCCATGCCGTTCTCCCGACGCCCTACTCTCCCGACACTCACTGATGAGCGGCTGCAGCACCCTATGCCGTTCCCTCGACCCCCACTCTCCCCACACTCACTGATAAGCGGCTGCAGCACCCTATGCCGTTCCCTCGGCCCCAGCTCTCCCCGCACTTACTGATGAGCGCGCGCAGACCATGATGCGGATCGCGCAGCTGCTCGATCATCTCGGCCATCTGTTTCAGCTGCTCGTCGCCGGGCGGCGCCACCTGCTGCGACTGCAGGCCGCCGCGCACCTCCGACACGCACTGGGCGGCCACGTTAGGCAGCAGGTCCGCCAGCTTCCTGAGTGGGGACAGGCCACGGCAGGCTCAGCGGTGGGCCAACGCTTGGGTGGTGGAGCCGTCACGAAGCTGATGGTCAGCCAGCTGGCCAGCTGGTGGCCCATCGTTTCCAAGACCAGCACACATGTACCAAAGAGGTGATCAGCAGAACATCGCGCCTCACGTTCTTCGCAGTACATAGTGTAGGTTAAAGATTGTCAACAGACCTCTCCAGCACAGATATGAGCAAAAGCGGGTTTCCTCACAGAAGTCATCCACGGTTACAGGTACTCAGCTCAAATCACGCAAGAGTAAACACGAGTCCAGATCCGTCCGCTCCTGCCACAGGCGACGACGGCGCTAATGCAGCCGTTCTACATGCCCACTGGCTGACAACCGCGAACACTCACTGCGGGGACGAGGCGTCGGCCAGTATAGCCATCAGCTTGTCCTTGAGCCGGCTCCTGAACTCGGTGACAGCCTGCAGCGGCTGGCCGCACGAGCTGTACGTCATCAGGAGCGCGGCGGCGGTCACGATCACCTGCTGCGTCTCCAGCCGCAGCTCAGGAGAGACGGTGCCAGTCCATGGCCAGCGTCTACGGTCAGAGGGGACGGCCGTCAGAGGTGCGCTGCGGCGGGCGCGCGGCGCTCGCGCGGACTCGGGTGGGGAGCAGGACATCGGTCTGCTGGTCCAAACTGGGCACAGGACATTAAACAGGCATGACCAGGGAGGAGATGACGTAGTATGCCTGAGTCGCAACGACAAAGGGAACATATGTACCCGTTTGTAGTGCGAATTGACGTGTAGTGCACACTTGCCGAATTCAATCCAGGTTCGGTATTGTGCCCCAGCTCGGTGCAAACACTCGGAACCAGCGGCCTTGTTGCAGGTGTTTTGTCAATCACCAATGGAATGGTTACATCAGGGAAAGCTGACGATCAAACACAAGCTCCCTCGCCGAGGCACTCAAGGCCAACACACTGCACGCCGCAGTCAGTTCCGCTGTCACGCCGTGGTAACGAATCTCTTTGTCCGGCCCCAGCGAAGGCCAGGCCGTAATCCCGGCAGGCTGAGAGCGAGCCGGCGGTCACGAGATAGCGGCAGGGCGGGGCCATCTTCGTGACTGCCTCACTGACGCGGCGCCCGTCTCCGTGACTGCTCCCTACGGCGGCCGAGCCCCCCCCCCCCCCACTCCGCCACCGCAGGAGGGGGGCTCCGAGGGAACCGGTCACGGAGAGGGTCGACCCCCCCCCCCCGTAACCACTCCTCACGGCGGCGGAGCTCCCTCCGTGGTCACTCCTTGCGGCAGTGGAGCCCCCCCCCCCCTCCGCCGCCGCAGGAGGGGCGGGGGGGGGGGCTCTGAGAGGGGGCTGTCACGGAGGGGGTCGCCCCTCCGTGACCACTACTCACGGCGGCGGGAGACCCCCTCCATGGCCACTCCTCACGGCGGCGGCGACCCCCTCCGTAATCGCTCCTTACAGCGGCGGAGCCCCCCCCCCCATGACTGCTCTTTACAGTGGCGGAGACCCCCTCCGTGATCTCTCCTCACGGCGGCTGAGCCCGTCTCCGTGAGCCTCAGCCCCCTCCCCCCCCCCGCCGCTTACCTCTGGGATTTCCGTGCTGTCGTCCCAGTCGAGGAACTCGAGGTACGCGGCCGTGACCGTGTCGCGAATCCGCGTAGACGGATCACCGCCGGCGGGGATGCTCCTTTCCAGCCATTGGCGTGTCACCAGCAGACCGTCTGGTGGACAGGGGTCAACCCAGGGTCAGTCTGAGGCGCACCACCGTTCAGCACGCTGGGCGGGCTGCGATCGCGGTGGGGGAAATCACGCGGCAGGCGCCAGGTCCTGCTGCGTGGTTTGCGGTGAAGTAATCGGACGGGCTGGGCACGGCTGGAAAATGCGCTGATGGATTGCTGAAGCGCTCGGTGGTAGGCCGACTCATGCAGGTAAACCACATGTGGACAGCTGCAGGCAGAGGAGGTTTGATACCATGACACGTGCATTTTTTTTAAAAAAAGACGCAGTAACAATAATCCTCCGGATTTGAGCAGATGTTTTTCAGTACGCAACCGTCATCAGGAAATCACTTAACACTCCCCACGACCGCGATGGGAACGTCCCTTTCGGGTTTTTCCTCGCACGACATTCTTACGACGCATTTGCACCGCAGCACGCCTTGCCGATACACATCCGCTGATGAACCAGAAGATCCATATGCGAAACTCAACGGTGATACTAAACCACACTAGCCATGTCCGTCCGATAGCATCAACAGCGTGCCTTGGCCGCGAATCCAGGCTGTCGAAGTTTGTGTACGAATCGTGAACCTGGTCGACACCGGTGTCTTTTGTTTCCCGCCGCCCGGCCGAGAGAACTAACCATTGGTGGTCTTGAGATACTCTGCGAACTTTTTCTTCTCGTACTCGACGCTCTGGGCGATGATGTGAGGTCGCACCTGCTGGATAGCGAAGTTCGCCATGTCTATTCGCATCAGCTCCAGAGTCTGCATTCAGGGCAGCGTCGTCAGAATACGACCCATACGACAGACTGACTGCGGGGGCCGAGGAAACAAGCCTAGAATCATTCCAATCGTGCGTGGCAGAGCGCACATACACCAGCTGCATGGCGAAACGCAGCCAGCCCATCTAGCGACAGCACTGCATACCATACAGCCACTGGAGGCTAGATAACTCATTTCGCGCCGGTCAATCCCGGACACACAACTCATTGGGCCACGTTAACCTACTGGGCGGCATGCTGGGGACCGGACAGGATGTGGCGGGCCGCCTGCTCACCTCCATGATGCCCCTGAAGACGTCCACCACGCCGGCCAGCCGGCCCAGCTCTCGGATCTTGTCGTCCCGCACGGGAGCGCAGATGCGCGACATCACAGACAGCACGTACCCAGAGTACTCGTGAAAGTCTGGCGGCAAGGTAGACATCGGATCAGACAGGCGACCAGAGGCCCGTGACAGTCTGGAGGAGGGGAAGGGACAGACTTGGCATGAGCGGGTACATATCACCAAAGAACTCCACGGACAGTCTCACCACGGGAAATCCCCGCCAACTTACCGATAGTGCTTTACCACCGCAGAACTCGTGAAAGTCCAGGAACGGGACAACACGGAACATCACCATCTGGCAGTACAGAGCAGATTCCGCTTAAACGCTGAGCGTGAGCGACAGTTGGATGTTCCAGAAACGTCAAGAAAGCAACTAACATACAAAAAAAAAAAACGCCTTGGGACTTTCCATCCTGAGCCACGCCATTGACAGCAAGCAGATCCGATTACGAAATAAGCCCCGGCACGGAGAACACGACAACACGGTAATAACACACACTAACTCAGTAAACCTCAGAGTGACAAATTATATCTACCTAAAACGGGACTGCGACCCTGCCATGGGTCTGGCGGCAGACACGGCAACAGGGTCAAGACCCCGGCGTCCCGCGTAGACACTAAATAGCGCCAGTATTCAGCCCCAGCTAATGAAGCTAAATACATTTGGTTCCACCCATGTTCCTTGTAAACCAAGTTGAAACATTATGGGCATGTGCTGTATCGCCCAGGACAGGCACCACACATTACTTTCGCGTCAAAAGTGCGATCGATCGCACACCTGAGGTCATTTTCCCAAGTGGCTTGAACTCGCAGGCAGCCCTTCATTCGAACGTCCGAATGTTCGTCTCCAAAAGCGATTCGCCTAAGCCACGACTGTTCTCCCGCCGTCCTCAAACCGCCGGGGTGTTCCACTACCGAGTGAGCGGGTGTGTCTAGCGCTAGCGGCAGCGTGCTGTCCCCCTGCTGCAGACGCATCACATGAGCTGTCTGCACATGTCCCTCAGTCGATCCGATGACGCACCATTCCTACGCCTACCATGGAATCCTTCCAGGAACAGGCACGCCCAAGGTGGAAACAATGACGTGAAATGCAAATACAATGACAGCGGCAGCGTGCATTTTCGTGGGACGAGATAGCCCGTGGCTGTGTAAATGTTAACCAAAGCCAGAATGTCAATGCGGAACGTCCCGCTCATTTAAGAGCGCGCACGGAACACTGCCATGACAACTTCATTTGCGCATTTCAAGTGCTGAGTGCCGGTGGAAGTGCTGGGAGCTTTGCGGGGGCGTAGTCTGCAAGCTCAAACAAACCACAGCCCGGCGTCCGCCGACCTTCGCAACAGTGGCCCGGGCGGGCAGTGGCCCTGTGTCCACACTCGTCGCGTGGACGTGGGCAGCTCTCCACAGTCCAGCAATGGTGGAACAGTGACGCAACAGTGGCCCGGACGGGCAGTGGCCCTGTGTCCACACTCGTCGCGTGGACGTGGGCAGCTCTCCACAGTCCAGCAATGGTGGAACAGTGACGCAACAGTGGCCCGGACGGGCAGTGGCCCTGTGTCCACACTCGTCGCGTGGACGTGGGCAGCTCTCCACAGTCCAGCAATGGTGGAACAGTGACGCAACAGTGGCCCGGACGGGCGGTGGTCCTGTGTCCACACTCGTCGCGTGGACGTGGGCAGCCCTCCACGGTCCGGCCATGGTGGAACAGTGACGCAACAGTGGCCCGGGCGGGCAGTGGCCCTGTGTCCACACTCGTCGCGTGGACGTGGGCAGCCCTCCATAGTCCGGCCGTGGTGGGACAGTGACGCAACAGTGGCCCGGACGGGCGGTGGTCCTGTGTCCACACTCGTCGCGTGGACGTGGCAGCCCTCCACAGTCCGGCCGTGGTGGAACAGTGAACTGCGCGGTAACCACGACTGCTACAATGCTCTCAGAAGCCGCAGACGCCATTGATTACGGCGGTCGTTATCTGACGACCGCACGCCGGCGGGGCCGCGATCTAATTATTCCGGATCCCGCAATAACGGACCCAGCCGCCATAGCAACGCCGCCAGCTAGTCACAGATCCTAATTCGTCAGACGCCATACGTGGGGCCGAGGTCATCACCATACGTGGGGCCGAGGTCATCACCGCCGAAAACGCTTCGTGGTGCGTTTGAGAAGGCTGGAATTTTCAACGAACATGTAACGCTCGTCTCTAAATCCCTTTAACATTTCTGTCGAAGTTCCAACAAACCCGGATGCTGCACCAAATACGTAGCAGGGCAGGATAGATGTGTGTGTATCTGGCCTATCCGAAGCATTGCAGGGGTCCAGCCCATGCACAGAAAGATCTGATGTGACGATTCACCGGCATTTTACCGATAATGCCAAAGCCCTGTACCACGACATGAAGCGGTTGCGGTAATCGACAGCAACACCCAGGGGCGGGTCCAGGATTTCGTCAAGGGAGGGGCCGCGCTTCATCGTGGTGCCCCCGGAACATGGTAACCCCCCCCCCCTCCCCTCGCAGAGGTCCCCGGATTTCGGCCACTTTACTGTTAGATTCTTACGTTTTTATCGGTAAAATATCTTCCACGGGAATGGTCCACCAGAATCGGTCCGCTTTCTTTCTGGAGGTCAATTTTCTTTTGATCTTGTGTGTTGAACTTATGATGTAAGGCCGTTCGTGGTGCCCCTGAACTTTGGTGCTTCTTGAAAATAAAGATTATGTGGATCCAAAATGAGGATTTTGGTGCTCCTTCACCCAAAGATTTTCGTGTCCCTTCGGCCCAAAGGAGAGCAAGGTAGCCCAATACATCCCCCCTGGATCCGCACAGGCAACGCGTCCACTTCAAGCATCACCTGGCCCAAATGGTCCTGAATGAAACAAGCCAAACGGGACTGGGCTGACCGAGCCAACTTTCGGACCGTGTGGACAGAGTAAGGTCGGGGTTGTTAATATTATTAACAGCCCACTTAATAATATCAACAATTATTATCTTAATACTAAATTTAGCAAATAGTATATTACCATAAAAAGATGAAATAAATAAAAACAAATGTAATACATAATATCAAAATTAACCCAGTTAATATTTGTAAGAGAGCGGACGGAGAAGGTCAACGGATTGAAGTGGTCAAACCGTGACAACCCGTTAATTTAGCGCCAACCCTTCAGCGCCAGTTGGCACAGCACATTCCAGTGCCGGTAACGAAACGCGGTACGCATTCCGACACATCATCTCGCCACAAGACTGCATTGACCGGATCCCGGCGCGCCGACCAGCGCGGACAAGTGCCGCCATAGCGCCCACGATGAGAGCGCTCCACCTACCCAGCGTGCCGCTCTCCGCCTGCTGCTTGATCACCGCCTCGTCCAGCTTCTCCTCCACGGCCTTCTTGAGTGACGTGTGCTGGGGCAGCAGCAGCGACAGCAGCGTCTGCGGGTGACGTCACACGAGGCGTCACCGGCCAGGAAGCAGACAACGCGCGGTGTGAAGGGAAGGCAACGACAGCGTGAGGGACGCCGCCGATACGGACGTCACGACCACTAACGACAGCGTGAGGGACGCCGCCGATACGGACGCCACGACCACTAACGACAGCGTGAGGGACGCCGCCGATACGGACGCCACAACCACTAACGACAGCGTGAGGGACGCCGCCGATACGGACGCCACAACCACTAACGACAGCGTGGGGGACGCCGCCGATACGGACGTCACGACCACTAACGACAGCGTGAGGGACGCCGCCGATACGGACGTCACGACCACTAACGACAGCGTGAGGGACGCCGCCGATACGGACGTCACGACCACTAACGACAGCGTAGGGGACGCCACCGATACGGACGTCACGACCACTAACGACAGCGTGAGGGACGCCGCCGATACGGATGCCACAACCACTAACGACAGCGTGAGGGACGCCGCCGATACGGACGTCACGACCACTAACGACAGCGTGAGGGACGCCGCCGATGCGGACGCCACAACCACTAACGACAGCGTGAGGGACGCCGCCGATACGGACGTCACGACCACTAACGACAGCGTGGGGGACGCCGCCGATACGGACGCCACAACCACTAACGACAGCGTGAGGGACGCCGCCGATACGGACGTCACGACCACTAACGACAGCGTGGGGACGCCGCCGATACGGACGTCAACCACTAACGACAGCGTGGGGGACGCCGCCGATACGGACGTCACGACCACTAACGACAGCGTGGGGACGCCGCCGATACGGACGCCACAACCACTAACGACAGCGTGGGGACGCCGCCGATACGGACGCCACAACCACTAACGACAGCGTGAGGGACGCCGCCGATACGGACGCCACAACCACTAACGACAGCGTGAGGGACGCCGCCGATACGGACATCACAACCACTAACGACAGCGTGAGGGACGCCGCCGATACGGACGCCACAACTACTGCGGCATGAATCCTCAGCTTAGTGCAGGCTCAAGGCGCACTCAGTGGGCAATGAACGAAGATAACTAGAGGAATTTAGACACCAAACTGAAACTGGTTTAATATGCACTGACGGTTACAACAAAATAAGCGAAAATATTCCTTATGGGGTTATTTTGAAGGAAATGGCAATGTCAGGCTAGCTGCGCCAACAGCGCGTCGACTTTAACGAGCTGTCAAACGAAACACATCCGCTTGAGATTATTTCCATGAAGCCATGCAATTATCGGAATTACCTGGACTCTGGCAATCTCCCGAGTCCCTTCACCATCGAGACCTAAACCGCACGCGGGAACTCTTTCGGGCTGTGCACGGACGCACGGTAAAAGCTTCCGCCAGACATTCGACTGCAGATCAAGAGGTTAAATCCGATGGGCCCTTGGCGCTTTATGCCGTTCTACGGTAATTGCGGTGTTTAACGCTGTGGAAGCGTAAAAGTCAGATCTGTCAGTTGCAGACGTGAGGGCGACATTCCCGGCGTAATATTGGGCCGATCGGTGCGCCCTCTACCCTGCACGGTAGTCTTTGATGGCCGTTTTTCCGGCAAAGGTCAGTTGATCTAACGTGTGGCATTGGCAAATCCGCGATGTACGCGTGACCGACTTGGGCGCGGGGGTATAGCTCAGTGGTAGAGCATTCGACTGCAGATCGAGAGGTCCCCGGTTCAAATCCGGGTGCCCCCTGGCATCCCACCGTTTCAGGTGATCAGTGCCCATTTAAAGCTGCGAGTGTTCCACATTTGTGCGGGGTTTTTAACTAAAATCGACAACTTGCAGACCTTTCAGTGCCATTAAGGATACTGCCCTCCAAAAGGCGTGAGCCCCTCTGGTTTCTCAGCTACACGCTCGGTAAAATGTGAAAAAGGTATATGGGGGAGAGTATTTCAAACGCACCTTGGCATTCATGACGTCATAATAGTATTATTCAAATCCTGTCATTCCGTAAGCCATGCAGCGATCAAGGCCAATACAAATATAATTGTACAAGTGTTCATATATGCCGTTCGTGGGCGCGATTTCCAGATATAACTACCATCAACTGGCTCTCAATCAATGCTCTGCAAGGTACGATGACGTAATTAAAGCATGGCGCTTTGAGGAGCATATTTACTGCACAGAGCATTATGCCGTCTGGATCAGTCTTTTCCACTTAAAAAGCATACCATACCAATAGTCGTAAGTATCCGTGTTCCATCATATCTGATGCTTGCTTCAACATCTTCAACTGTGAAACATTCCCTTTAACACGCGCTCGGCTGGGGGGTCCATTTGACCACCCCCCCCCCCCCCGAAGGTTCTTGAGAAATGGTTTCCGAACGGTGTGGCGCAGCCACGCCAAATTTGCTCAACTGTAGACAACTGAATAGAAAATTGTTTGGTGTCAAAAATTTTGATGTAGCTTGTAAGGTCGCTGACCTAGGGTATGGCAGTCAGGCCATGCATTCAGCGAATACAATTTCTAGGGAATCGTTCAGTCTGATGAGACAACGGAGTGTTAGACGAAGCCATACACCTCTGAGATCGCTTCCTAGACAACACAGCAATTGAATTAACAAAACGTAATGACCTAAGATCACATATAAATGTGAGACTAAGATCCAAAGCAGCCTGGTTTATTACTCTTGTGCTTGTTGTATGAGGTAGTTCCTGGTGTTAATTTGAACTTTATTGATAACAGGAACCGCATTATACATCTTCCGTGGATTTCTTAAAGGTCAGAATATATCACTGATCCTATACGACCTAGGTCAACATTTTGTTTTTGGAACATACTGCGCAGCATATCCTTTGATTCTTACTCAAATGCAAAATTCAAAGCAGATTTATATGATTTTGGTCATCATGACACTCTAAAGCTACATTAAGGTCACTAACCTTAGCAACACCAGTGACCTTTTGCTCAGAACAGGTGTCTAGGTTCATGATGGTTGCATGAGAAGGTCTAAGGGCACTTAAGACACCAAGCTGGTGTTTGACCTTGTTTGACCTTATTTGACCCGAAGGTCATGCCCTTGGAACCTCAAATGTTCACACAAGTGAGCTCCCGTTCATGCAAACACACACTATAACTTTGGTGTCTCTAGTTCTTTTAGGTTCTGAGATCTCAGGGGGTCACATTGAGCCCCAACCGAGCGAAGGATATCCAACCGTGTTACCACCGTGGAAGCGTTGTCAGATGTGCGGCAGCTTGACGACAACCAGCCAGTATTTCTTCACTCACCACTTCATCCCCGTCCAACATCGCGTGGCAAGATGCGTGCAGCAGAGCCACGGGTGGGCTTAAAGCCTACCCTGGGCGGCCTCCATGGTAACCCCACTCTTTACAAGGGGGAGGCGGCAAATTCTACCCGCCCTCTTCCGAGATCTCAGTACTATTGAGCCTACTGTCAAAAAGCTAAACGAAGCTTCATCCTCTCCGACGAGATCTGCACTGCTTACTCCTCCCTGGCATACCGTAACATGACGTTTACTCCCTGAAATGAAGGATGAAATGAATGCAATATTCAGTTTTGGATCTTCATGTTACAGATGATATGACTCATGAACCTAAGATTCTCGGCCCTATGGGTGCCTCCGTGAAACATTCCTTCATCCAGCTTCAAAGTCGCGAATATTTTCATTCGCTACCCATTCACAGTAGCGTAGTGCTGCTATAGGTCTGAGCGCACATTCAATGGGCGATTAACGGGGAGAGCAAAAATAAATTGTACAAACAAAGCTGAAGCTGGTTTCATACGCTCTAACAATAGCAGTACTCGAAGCAATACGAGTGTCCATCCGATCATTGTTAAGGGCATAGTGATGTTGGTCTAGCTACGCCTACAGTGCGGCGACCCTAATGAGCTGTCTTACAAATGCAGCCGCTCTGTGTTATTTCCACAAAGCCATGGAATGATCGGAATCGCAGGCGTCTCACGTATCTGATATTTACTCGTGGGTATATGGCTCGGCGAACGGTATTCCACTCCGCATCGAGAGGCTCACAGTTAAAATCCGGATCCCCTCCCCAAAATGAACACACACTTATGATAACGTTCAGCCATACTGTGCCCTACGATTGTCATGTAAGCATAAAGGCCATGCAAACTAGTCGCAGCCGTGGAGTGACCTGTTTCGACTGCAGACTGAAAGCATGTGGGTTCAAATTCCGGACTTTTGTACCCTTTTACAATTGGTCTTGATTCAGACCTGTGGTTTAGTTGTTTGGAGTTACAGCCCCTTTGACCAGGAATGATCATTGCGGGGCTGTGAGATGAAGGACAACGGTTGAAGGGAAACCCGCGCATGCGCGCTGGGTTTCCGGTCGGGTCCCCCTTCCCACGGGGCTCTCGGCCCACTCGTGGCTGACGCATGCTGCCTGCCCCGGACAAGCGGGATGTCGAGAGGATGCAGGATGAGGCTAGATGGAGGATAAGAGGGACGGGTGCAGACCCGTGCTTGGCGCGGAGGGCACGCGGGCGCACAGGCGGAGCTTCCGCCAGACATTCGACTCCAAATCGAGAAGTTCAAATCCCACGCGGAAGCGTAAACGTCAGATCCGTCAGCTGCAGACGTGAGGGTGACATTACCAGCCTAACATTGGGCCGATCGGCGCGCCCTCTGGCCCTCTGGCGGTAGAGCGCTGCGGTAGTTCTCAGTGGCCGCTTTTGTGGCAAGGACCGGTTGTTAAAAAGTGTGGCGTCATCAAGTCCGCTGTATACACTTGATCAGCGATAGCACGGGGTTATATTTCAGTAGTAGAGCATTCGACTGCAGATCGAGAGGTCCCCGGTTCAAATCCGGGTGCCCCTGGCATCCCGCCGTTTTAAGCGATTGGCGCGCGTTTACCGCCGTGGCAGCGTTGTCAGACGTGCGGCAAATCGACTATTGCCGCTTCATCCCTTATCCCCGTCCTCCGTGGCAAGATGCGTAGATCACGGCGGGCTTAGAACCTGCCCTGGGCGGCACTCACGGTAACCCATTCTGTACAAGGGGGAGGCGGCGAACTCTACCCGCCCCTTCCTGCGGCCTCCGGACTAATGCGCAGATCGTGAGGGAACTAAACGACGTTTTATTGCTCTGGACGGAATCTACGGTTCTGAAAATATCCAAACGCCGCTTAATTTTTTATAGTCGACCCATCAGTTCTCGACGTTTCATACAGCGGGCGATGTTAGCCCATCCCACCCGCACAAAAGACGGGGCCCGCCGGGAACGGACGGGCGTCGCGGGGATAATCTGTGGGCGATGCGATCATTAGCGATGGCGGAAAGGCGGAAATATCGTCGGAAAACTGCACTTAAAACATGGCTGCTTGCTGACGTGGTGGGAGATACGTCTGCTCAGCAGCCTAAAGACGCAAGACTCCAGGGGGCACCCGGATTTGAACCGGGGACCTCTCGATCTGCAGTCGAATGCTCTACCACTGAGCTATACCCCCGCGACAGCCAGCACTGATGAGTACATTCGCAGCGATCCGAACGACAAAGAACCTATGCCGTCCACATCACTTATGACGTCATACCCATCGATTCTGCACCATTTGGTGCTCGCAGCAATCCGGATGACAAAGAATATATGTCATCGACGTCGCTCATTACGTCATACCCAAAGATTCTGTGTCATTTGGTGTTCGCAGCGCAACGGACGACAAATATTCTACGTGAAGCCAAGCACAATCTTTACCGGAGTCAATGAAAATTTTTCCGCGGCTCGATCGAAGCAAGACAGAAATTGCGCAACATATTCATTTATGAAGAAGTTGGTTGGCATGCCCAGGACCAACTACGAGTTGTAAAAATGTGTTGTTTACGTTACAAACAGCACAATTTGCAGCTCCCGTTGCTGAGAACACGCGTAGTACCTAACAACGAAAATCTTTGTGTTTTTGCGAGAACGGTTATTGCTTCGACAATTACGAATATGTAAACAGATAAACGTGTCACACCACAAACACGTCCCGCAAAGCTTACACGTGACGTCACGACCACGTGACATGCGTGTTTCGCACGTTCACAAGATCACATGATCACATTCTACGTGACATCAGGTAGAATGTAACATTCTTAATGCGCTGCGAATGATCCCCATGTGTACACGACAGAATTACCAATAGCATGCGCTGTTCACAACTGTTACATTGCCACAACGACGGCAAACAAAACCAGCGAAACTTGAGAAATTTCCGACACTTCCAACAAAGATTATCTGTGACGTCACGAACATTAGAACATTCCTTGACACGCTACGTCACGCTGTTGACAACAGGCGTTGACAAACCTGCAGACTTTCCCTCACACTTCCACAGCGTTATACATTTGATATAATATACCAAAAAACCACGGATCGCCAGGGGGCACCCGGATTTGAACCGGGGACTTCTCGATCTGCAGTCGAATGCTCTAACACTGAGCTTTACCCCCTCGGGACTTGCCATCATGGGTGCGTGGCGGAATCACCGACGTCACACGCTCTTAAATGTACCTCAGCCGCACTCAAGATCATGAAAATTAAATGGCGTTTTGCGATCAGGGAGGCGTCGGAGGCGGGAGATGGGTGAACTGTCACAAACGACACGCCAATTCCGCTGCCACGCTACTTGGATTTATTCATGTTTGTCTCGTCCAACGTCTGCAACTTGCAGACCAGCCAATTACGCTTCCACCACGGAGAACGCATTGCGAAATCCACCTAAAACGACGGCCCTCCAGGGGGCACCCGGATTTGAACCGGGGACCTCTCGATCTGCAGTCGAATGCTCTACCACTGAGCTATACCCCCACGACACTCCGCGCATACAGCGCGAGAAAACACCGCTGTAGCGGCGGCGGCGGCGGCGGTGTGCAGCTGGCCCGGACCGGTCCGCCGACTCGTCTGCCCACTCGGAGCCCGTTTTGGAGCGGCGCGCCGTCGATCCGGTCCCCATTGACCAGATAAGGCGAGCCCGAATTTACGACGTCGTTTGCAATCGTTTTCGGACGGAATCAAGCGTACATGTACGCGATGCTGAGCAAAAGTTATTCTCTGGCAGAATTGCAATCGTGTTTTACACACTGCACTGATAGCCCACGAGGAGAGGCGAGACATCAATGCAAGACGGGAGACAATGAAGCAAAGACCGCCACCAACGGTGACGATGTCAACACACTAGATAAGCCTGCCCCGTCCAAAACGAGCAAGCGGCGAGCGGCGGTGCGGCCATAAAAAACAAGTCACTCTCACAACCGCAATTCATTCTCACAAGCGCAAATCATTCTCCCAGGCGCAAATCACTACCGCAAGCGCGAACCACGTCCCCACGCCAGCCATTCGGGTCGTCGGCTTACTGACCTGTTTGACCTCGGTCAGCAGGCTCAGCGCCTGAGAGAAGTCGGGAGGGTCGGCCTCCAGCTGCTGCTGCAGTATGTCCCAGAAGGCCTTGTGAGTCATCTGCTTGACGCGACCCAGCAAACTGAGGCGGCCGAAAGCGGGCCCCGGTCAGCACATAAAGCTTTGGAAAGGCGGAAAAGAACTGAGCGTTCGGCATGTGACGAGCGTCAGGGACGCGGGTGTGATGGCAGCGCCAGTCCCCGGCAAACCGTCACGAAGGACACCTTACGCTCGAAAAGTGCCGTGAAACTGCATACACGTGAACGGGCTCCACATCACCAACATGTGGCCAGACACCATGAGCCCCGCCACGAATGCTCATCCCCCAGTCGCATCACCTTCCGCCGCACGAAACACCACGCCAGCCCCAGCTGGTGTTCCATTCAGCGTCGGCCCCACTGCCCCGTCTCCTCCCCGCGGAGCGCCGGTCGCGCGCCAGGCCTCACTGCCCACCCGCTGACCTGGTGTCGGGCGCCTGGTACTTCTCCAGCTTAAAGTCGTGGTTGACGGCGATCTCGTGCGCCAGCGCCATGTTGCTGACGCCGTTGGCGGCGCGCATCACCTCCTCCAGCGAGACGAAGCGGGGCGGCGAGGCGGCCACGCCCGGCAGCAGGAAGGCCGGCGAGCCGGCGCGAGCTGATGGCTCACTGCCCGCGCTGGTCGTCCGCTTCCTGCCGGGATCGGGCAAAGCGGGGTGACCCAGAGGGCGGGGCGGCACGAGCCTAATATGGGGATAGAACTACTTCGCTACTTCCCCAGCTACCACAACCACGTGAGAGAGGACGGGTTTCAATGTGACCTTCCAGGAAGATGAGAGGGATGCGGATTGCCTTCGATCACCATGCGCAGCCACACCGAAGGAGATTCGTCGCGCGCAGCAATGATCCACATCAGGGTACGGCAGGCATGCGACGAGCTTCCGATCGGCCAAAATCGAGCTCAGCTTTCGTTAGCACCGGACTACAGGACCGCTTAACACCGCCACACACGCTCAGCGACGCCTACGAATGGGTGATTACAGATGCGCTTGGTTGCCACCGACGAGTGACGGTGTCGGTGACGACACTTACCGCTCGTCACCAGGCGCCATGCAAAACGTCGACAACGACGGACGCCACCTCACCGGCACACGTGCGCACACACCGCTCCCACCCATCGACACTGGGCTCGCTGCGCGACACAGTTAACAGGAAGCGGCCCGAGCGGTGAATGAACTGATATACGACAGATACAATGGACATTGTGTCTGCTCTAATATCGCCATTAATGCGAGAAATTGGTTCCCGTGGCCAGCGGCACGCGCATCCCGTCCGAGGACTGCTTGAGTGGGATGATTACATGATGAAATTGCTGTCAATGACCATAATCCAGAACAATGACAGAAGAGCAATGACCCTGAGCAATGATGACAAATGCTTCGCGGTATTCAACAAACGCAGATCAGAATGTGCTTGTAACGTGTTGAAAGCAAATCATATTACGTGCCACATGGTCTGCTTCCACTTCCAGTGGGTGTTGGTACAGGGACACTCCCATGTAAACCTGCATCCCGGACAGCCACTGCTGAAGGGCTGCACTTAAACTGGACCAGCTGACACAGGTAAGACACAGGTATGACACAATATTGATGGGTGTCACTTTCTAAAATTGGTTGGGGGTGGAAGACATAAAGTTGACCTAGCCTAATCTTGATTTCTCCCCAGATTTCAGCCACTTCCCCAGGTATGCTTGACATTAAATTGATTTATTTTTTAATATCTTGTTTAAATAAAACATAACTTTCATGCTGAGGAGTGGCTTCCAATTTGAAGCTCATGTTAAGCTGCATGGCTGCAAAAGGCACACTTAAAATGGGGTGTAGTTCAAAATTAAATCCCACAATTTTGCACTGCCTGTTGTTGGTGCCAACCTGTACATCAAAAGCTGTCAAATATCCCAGCCAATAGACATTTATTCTAACCAGGTATCATCATCTGTAAAATTCTGAAACATTGGCAGATTGGCCCCTACATATGAGAGAGTTGGCATGAAAAAAAACAGTAGGTACCCACAGGATGCTATTTGGTGTAGAATTGGTATTCATGATGATATGTTTAGGTACCTAGTATACCAGCAGTTTAGATGTTTGCTGCATTCCATTAGACAGAAATTTTTACTCCCTTTTTTGCTCATAGGGGTGGTCAGAAGAGCACTGAGGGTGCTCAATTCAGCATCAGGGAGGGGGGGGGGGCCTCTGACCAACACCAAAAGAATGAAAAGTGAAGTCCAAATTGGTGCTCAACATGCTTTGCACTTAAATCAGCCATGTTGCCTCCTAGCCACACATACCTGTGTTAAATTGTATATAAATAAGCACAGGTTTCTCACCTTTTACTTGTTTCCTGAGAATCTTCCACTGACTTTGTTGGATGACTGTCATCCCCACCAGATGCCATATTGCCTGAAATAAATTGAATGGAAAGACACCTGACTGCTTTGCTATGAAACTATCACTGATTTTAAGAATGCAGTGAGAAAGCAGCACATGATCTTATGCATCCAGTGAATAAGCAGTCTTTCCCATGCACTTCTATATTAAACAAATGTTAATACCTAGGAATATTCACAAGACATGAAAAGTAGAACAACTTCATGCCATCTCACAGCATCCTGTTGTTCAAGATTAGTGTCATACTCCCAGAATGATTGACAGTTACATACAAACACATGTACCTGCACCCTGAACATAGAACTATCATATTGTAATACACACAGCACAACACACAGCACAATTTCAAAATTTATTTACAGCTGACGTACAGAACTACGATTGAAACATCAGATTAACTCCAGTCTAGGGCAGTGATATTTTTTTCTTGGGTTCAGATAAATATCTAGCAGGCAGTTTATGAATTGATGGAACAAAACTGATGTTTTAAGTACCAAACCATCCAAGCAACAGAATGGTTGCTAGCAAAAGAGGGATCGGTGGCAGGCTACCAAGCAGCCACTCCTAACCAAATGCCCAATACATAAACCAAGCTTTTAACTTGGGAAATTTCAATATTGTTCCAATGATTCACCTAGTATGAATACCCTAAACCATTGGAATATTCAGTTTCTATCGTTGTACATTTCAAAATCAGGACTTTTGTTGTCATTACCATCATTTTTTCCAATGCACACTAATATCACAGACAACACATCACTAAACCTCTCACCATCAGACATGGTATGATGCTTCATTGTTGAGATATCGCAGAAAAAGGAATTTAAATGCATATCTCAGCCATCCCGCAAAAAATGCATCCACTGTGCCCAGCACCAATTTGACATTGGTGTAATGAACCTCACGTTTAGATTGCTGAGCTCAGACCCGACACGTAATATGTTGATCTCGCCATCTTACCTTAAACTTGACAGCTTAAAATTGGTCAAACTTTTCAACCGACCGCGAGGGCTGACAATTTGCTTCTGATTAACAATCCCAACCACAGGTAACTTGCAATTTTCTCCAGATAGTTCCAGAACGCGACCCTCCCAGTTTTGACTAGTATCCAGTAACCCAATATCAACACAGTGAGAGCGACGCTTTCTGAATGTCACACATGCGCCATAAACATACGCTTATAATTGGCACGCCGAGACTAAATTGTAATAAGCTGTAGAAAACCGCAGCCCTTGTGAGATATGCTGATTACGTTTATGACTACTGACTATGACTACTACAATGACTATTACTAGACAGCACAGACATTGCAATAGAGAATTATTGTCACAAAAGTAAGTCGTCAGAAATATGACTCATGACGGCTCCATCTTTATGAAAAATGACAGATGCGCTGCGGTGACGCATGCAAAGAATGGACTAATGAAACATTTTTTTGCATTTACATTCTTTGAACAACCTCATGCTCTAGCAAAATGAGACCATCAGAAACACAATCGGGGGACACGACAATGTGGAGGGCCCAGGAGCGGTTAAGAGTGCCCCGGCCGGTTGATAGTTAGGTCCCCGTCAACGGCAGCGAAATCTCCGAAAAATAGGGAAACCTGAGACGAAAAAGAATAGCACCTGAGCCATCGAGCGATCGAGGGCGCCCAGGTCAACGAGGAGGCTTTCGCCAGCAGGGTAGAGCCCTCAGAGCAAGCGAGACCAAGTAAATGGGGGTGGAACCATAAGCAATCAGGCGGCCCCGGCAGGTTAACATATCGTCCGCGGCCACAGCGCAGGGCTCTTTGAGCAAACGGAAACAACACAAGACCAGTGCACATGAATAAATGCCATTGAGCGGCCGAGAGCGTCTTGGCAGATGAACATATAGGACCCTGGACAAAAACTAAGGATCATCCAAACAACGCTGAAGAGCCCAAGGGAATTGTAGCGGGCCCCTGTGCAGTCAAAAGTGCCCGGGCAGGTCAACAGAAAGGACCTCGACAATAATGAACGGACATAGGCGTAGGAACGTTTCAAAAAGTTTGGTAGGGGGGGGGGGAGGTCCAAGCTCATAGCGTATTTCAAGAACTTTTTCTGGAAAGCACGCCTGATGACCAGGGAGGGGGGGGGGAAGATATAAAGGTTGTTATCACTCTTTATTCAAACATAATAGCTGCTATGCTAGATATGCATCTAGAGCTGTTTCTCATTGGTGCACAATCTTGCCTATTCGACTTATCTATGTCATTCGGCGAGTAAGGTTATCCAGCTTCCCAAGATTATTCGTTCATTTCAACACTGTCTTCCCCGCGGAAGCGAAATTCCACGAGCGAATAGGCATTTTGGGTTTTTGGGGAGGCGTCTGCCTCCGCAGGGCGGATGCCAAAATACGGCCCGGACATAGGCTGGTGAAAATTTTGAAAGTGAATCGATGGCTCATAGTGCAACAGTTTTTTCACGTGTCTTCATTTCGATGACTGTTTTTCAAGGGATAAGACTTATTGCAACATTTTAGGCGGAAACAAATTCGGGAGCTTGAAACCGCTGAAAACAAGGTGACAAAAGCCATAAAACTGGAAAATTTCCTTCAAAAACCAAGCCACAGAATGAAGGGCCTTCCGTCATATATTCCTTGTCTGGGCCCTGGTCCCGTCCGCTGTCGGCGGCCGCTGTCCTGGCCCCGCTGTTTTCCGCATGACTGTCTGAGAACTGATTGCATGGCTACCTTGTTGCATATTTCTGGATCAGCATCGCTACTAATTGGCGTGTAAAACATATGTTGGACATCTGCAACAGTATTTTTTCTGAACTATATTCCCTTACACCGCAACAACGCAGAAAGAAACCCCCGGGGAAGCTGTCTGCCTTAGGTATGAATTGGCCCAACGGGCATTTCATTGCCCATCATTCAACATCAACGACTTGATCTGCTCTTGTGTGTAGGCAGGGGTGCGGCCAGAGCCTTGCCAAAGGGGAACACAAGGTTGATAAAAGCCCTTCTTATGGTGACCCCATCCCTCAAAAATCCCCTGATGTAGCTTCCTTGTCAACAAGGTACACAGTTTGCATCTTTTATTGTTGTTTTATCTTGTAACCAGAACAGAAACCAGAAGCCACCGTGAAATGAATTCTGTTTGTATTTTGAAGCCAATGAACTGCAGAAAAGCAGGCGTTGAACGACCGCACGGGTTGAATCAGCGACGCCCTTAATTTACAATGGCTTTGTGAACCCTTTCCGAGCCGATAGAATTCAGAAGCTTTGCCAGAATATTTTATCTGGGCTCTACAGACATTAGGGACATCGCGAAGGCGGGTTATAGATAGATATGTTTTATCGAAATTTGAAGATGAAAATTTGATTGCAGATCGATTGATCAACAAGGTGTATTAACATGACGAAGCCATGTTTGTCTGGAAATTTTCAACATTTAGTCAGAACCGATAAGTGACACAATCTACGTATCGTGTTTTTATGTAACTTGCGCGCTCGCAAATCATAGCAACAAAAAACTCGACGCCAGACGTTGCAGTCTCCCTAGGCCGCGCGGCGTTGGTCCATCAGGTCATACCGAGCTGTGGCCAACGGGTGGACGAAAATGATGACCTTTCTGAAATAAATACCTTTGGACACTTCAGAGCACCACAAATTACACTTAAAAGTAAGTCTGGATGCATATTTCACTTGCGCGATTTTTAGACAGATGATAATAACGGATTGACCCTTAAAGCACCACAAGGCGGTGCTGGAACCTGGTGATGGAACTGGAAGAGTAAGGGTGGAATCTCCATTTTTCGTTTTTCTGTAACTATTAATATGTCCAGAAGGCAGGTTTATACGGCGCCCGCTGTCTGGTGGCACTTGCAGTGGCCCACGCTGCACAGTTCTGCGGAAGCTGCGACCAAGGCCATCGCTGTCCTTGCTCTCGAGGTTGCGAGCGAGCCTGTTCAAACCTTTTGATGCAATTCGTTCCCCTAACCCATTCTGAAAAATAAACGTTCTCAGGCAAACATCGAAACGTTCATTGCCTTGTCGGTCTTGATGGCCTTGTTGGCTTTTTTACTCATTTCGACCCACTCTATTCAACAATGAGACCCCCACTCTCTCAGCTATGAGACAGACCTCTAATTTCCTTCCGGTCAGGGGTCCCTTGAATAGAACATCAGGGGCACATTTCTGTTTTCTGTCAAGGGCTGAAGAGCCATTCCGTCCCATCGCGAAGTGTCTTCTGCTGTCATTCTAGTGATGCGGGGCGATATCTCCTGGTCGATCCGGAGGTCATTAGAAGGATATATCTATCACATTGTACCCCTCCCTGACACGGGAGGCTTTCCGACCCGCGCAGTTGGCCCCGGATCAGCACAAGAACCCTCAGTGACGCAACACAATCCCTCATCCCTGCAGGTGGCTCAATTCTTGTCACATAGGCTTCAGTCCATGTTGTTCTGTGTTCTTCAGAGATATTGAGGACTCTGAAGATATATTATAAATGAAATGGGGTCCCAAAGTCTTATTAGATGGCTAATCCATGTCCATCTTTTAATGTTCAAGATTAACTCAGAATAAAACACTGATAAAACTGTATAATGTGGTTTTGAATATGCGCGCTCACATGTCATGGCCAGAGCCCGGGTGCACGGCGTTCCAGTCTCCATAGGCTGTGCGGTGTCGGCCCCGCAGCTGAGACATTTAGCGATGGCCAATGACCAAACGAAAAAAATATGGCACATCTTGAGAAATATGGCTGGTGAACTAGGTAAATCCACATGTATGTTTCATGTAGCGCAAAAGGAAGCTAAGCACAACCTTAATCTGAGAAGTGGGGGGGGGGGGGGGGCAGTCAACACTGCTGGCCTCCGACCTTGAAAAGTGCGTGGGGGCATGGCCCCCACGCCCCCCTGTTCCTACACCCCTGTGAACGGACAAAGGCCAACAGGAAGAGCTCAGATAGGAGTGAAGAGTCCTCCGCCAATTACATTAGAGAGAAAGAACCCGCGATCAAAGTAGAGAGCCACTGAGCATCGAGTGTCTCGTTGCATAACGTTACGTGGGGCCCAGCCCCAGGGCATGACCCTCCGAGAAAGTGGAAAGAATCGGAGACCCATGTGAAGGGCCGCTGAACAACCGGGAGTACCCCGGCAGGTTAACATATGGCGCCCTGGAAATAGCGTGTAGAGCCTTTCGGGGCAAGGGGAAGAATCCGTGAATAGCTCCTGATCGATCAGGAGCACCCCGACATGCGAGCAGATAGTGTCGCAAAAACGGCATGGGGCCCTCCGAAGAAAATGCAGAGATCAGGGGTAACGTAAAAGGTTCCTTAGCGATAAGCTTAACCCAGTAGGTGGACATATGGGGCTCCCTGCATCAGCGTAGGATCTCTAGACAGTGTGATGAGCCTTAAAATATTTACCGATCATCACCCTCTCGATTATCGAAAGAAATATGTTTGTCTGTTTACGGCCCCTTCACTTTCACATTTATCGCTCGCGAATGTTCTCTGTCGCCTGGAGGCCCAAAGATGGTGAGGTTTGTTGTGTGATGTGTTAAAAATTGCATCCGTTCGGCTGGTAATGGTCCCATCAAAGCCTATGGACCCCAAAGGGACCCAACGGGGGGGGGGGGGGGCTCATGGCCCTGTGCGCCCCCTGGATCTGCCACTGCCCCGAGCATATAAACAGATGATTCCCTGAAAAGAGCATAATAGGGCCCTCCATTAAAATGTGAAACATCCAAGACACAATGTAGAGCCTATCAGCCATCGAGTGTGCCAGAATAGGTGAACAGACGGCCCCGTCGAGAAAGTAGGGGCATCCAAGCAAGTAAGAAACACTCAAATGTGTGACCTAGTGTGCCCAAGCAACATAACAGATGGGACCTCCAACAAGACAGCGGGGCACCCCAAAGCACATTGTAAATACCCAAGACACTTTGCGGAAGGCCCGAACGATAGAGTGTGCCCGAACAGGTGAACAGATAACCCCCGACAAGAGCGTAGGGCCCTCCATTCAAACAGGGAGTACCCAAGATCCAATAATGACCCCTGAGCAGCCGAGAGTACCCCGGCAGGTTAGTATATGAGCCCTGGGCTATAGTGTAAAGAGCCTTTCAGGCGAATGGGAAACATCCGTGATCAACGACCGTGCCCCGCGTGCTAGGAGATAGGGCCCCGACAACAATGCAGGATTCTCCGAACAAATGCAAATAAATTAAGGGCAAAGTGGAAGGCACCTCAGCGATCGGATTGATCCTTCAAGTGAACATATAGGGCCTCCGGTAAAAGCACAGAACCTCTGAACAGCGTCCTAAGCTTTAACACGCGCCCGGGTGGGCGGTCGAACACCTTTCGCTTAGGGGAGGTCAATTTGACCCCTTGAGATCTCGGAAATAAGAACAGCTAGATGCATTAACTTTACAGGGTTGGTTAGCCTGTATGTGAGCTCACTTGTGTACAAATTAGAGGTTTCTCGGTCATGGCCCTTGGTTCGATAAGGTCAAACAATGTCAAACTACAGATTGGTGCTTGAAGTAACCCCACACCTCAGCCATGGGACCACCGTGAGCCTAGATAATTGTTCCAAGCAAAAGATAAATGGTGTTCATACGAGGTCAGTAACGTTGCCCTTAAGACCTTAAGAGAACTTAAAAGAGTGTCTTGACATTAAGGGAGTCAAGATAACCAAAAACCTACAAGATAACTGTTATTTTTGTATTTGAATAATCGTAAGGGATTACACCAGGCGGTATGCTCCTAAAAAAATTGACCTGGGTCATTCTAGGACAGTGACTGCTCTTACCCTCAAAACATGTCTGTTGCGGTCCCTGTGATTAATATATTCGAAACAAACACCAGAAGCTACCCCACAAAACAAGCTCTCGAGTGAAACGGCATGCTAATTTGACCTCGATCTGACTTTCATACCTGACTCTAGGTCAATGGAATTTGTTTTCATTTCAATTGAATCGGCTTATTGCCTACGAAACCATTTCAGAGATGCATGGTTTTGCCTAACACTCCGCTGTTGCGTCAGATTGAACGATTCTCGAGAAATGGCTTTCGCTGACAGCCACGACCTGACTTTGACCTGCTATAGGTTAGCGACATTACAAGGCACATCTAATCTATTATGTCGATACATCCGGTCTTCAGTTGCCTACAGTTATGCAAAGTTTGGCACGGATACACCGTGCCGTTCGGCCATAATTTTGTACCAAGCTTCAGGAGGAAGAGGGGGGGGGGGGGGGGTAGTTAAATTGCATGTCCACCCGAGCACGTGTTGAGCCAATTTCGTTGTGTTTTGTGTAAGAAAACTGCGTCTGTAGTTCACTGGTTTTGGGCCCCTTCGGGACCATGCGGAGGCATGGCTCCGTGCCCCCTCCCCACCTCTGGATCCGTCACAGGGATGGTCTACCCGTCAAACATAATGGTATTCTTAGCGGAGCCACAGGTCAATGACGCATACGAAAAAAATGGTTTCGAGTTTAAGTTTATTGGATTTGAACCGCTGCTCGTTTAAGACAAAATTTCCATCTGTTCCAAGTAAGGTAGTGTTATAACACATTTCGGTCGTCACTGGGTGTCCGATCCTTTTAATTGTCTTGTTAAATATCTACAGCTTTTAAACATGAACACAGCGTCATTCATGAAAGAGCGCACTTGCTTTGTCCTCCCCTTCCCTGTGGCGCATCCCGTGCTGAAAATGCTATGGCCGGAATATGCAGGCCTATACGTACACATGACAGACAAAACAACTAGTATCTCGCTAACAGCGTTCTGCACTTCACTTGCAACATCTACATACCGCATAATCCTTGAACCTTACACGATTCTGCAAAGCAAAGTGCATTATATGGTATTCAAGTTTGCGTTACATTTGCCGTATGCACAACGCGAGACCAAGTCACGCACATCAGCGCAAAATTCCATACCATCATCAAAGCAGCTTTTTGAGCGAACCCTTTCATTAATCACAGCCCCTCCCATTTTAATTCTGATGAATTCACCTGCTCCTCTCTTAGATGAACATGGACTAGGGACGACGGACGACTGGTTCGAACGCGCGCTCCGACACCAGGGAATCGGAGGCACGGGGCGTGTATCGACGTGGGAGTGCCGCACCTGCCTGCGTGGCCGTTTATTTGCCCAGCCCACCCCACAGGTGCGACGGAGCTTGCCGTCGGACGAACCCCTCGCCGACGCGTACAAGGCAGAAGCAACACGGCCTGCCTACAGGCCGGAGACTGCCGGCTGCGTCCCGCCGGGTAGCCTGTGGCGGCCGTTTCCATGTGAGCGTGCCGGCCCGGCGGGTGGAGCTGGCCGGCGCGTGTCAGAGACCGGCCAGATAAACGGCTGGGAGAACAGCAGCTGCCGGGGCCAGGTCAGCGGCGCGCCGGCCGATAAAAAGGCCCCGTGGCCCAAAGACGCCCTTACGTCTGTTTGTGACCCCAGCAGCAACATGTTACGGGCGGTGGTGCTCGCGACGGCGCTCCTCAGTTCAGGTCAGTGCCAATGTGTCCCACAAGGTCAAGGGAAGATATACGTGTGAAAGCTGCATGTGATCAGCGAAGTTTGCCGCGGCCACGCCAGGACAAGGGCGCTTGTCAGGTCCGTCGCTTGTGCGACTTAGTAGTTGTGAAGACATCGATCCTGCGTCAAGTCCCATCGATGCCCGTACCAAGCGCTCAGGCTACTAACTTTCATTATTCGTAACTTGTCCGGTATTAGGAAACAATCGATATTCAACGGCTTACACTTGATGTGTCAGCATCCTTGTCAAGGGATCCAGATTACCGACGACAAATCGTTTCTGAGTAAAACATGTAGGAAATCGGGCTTCTCGCTTGGATCACGCATTTTCTGTTGTCATTGCATTTTACTTGACGCTGTCATAAGTCCTCAAATTTTGGCTGTTGGTCCCATAGCATGGGGAGAGGATACCAAAAAAAGAGCGTCGCTTTCCACGGTGCTCCGGATTTGTTGGAGGTAGTATTACTATTCAAATGGTAGCTGCCCACTCCTTCTAGGAGAAGGAAACATTAGAAAGGTTTCCTGTTGCCCCATTCCCTTCAATTTCATTTAAAGTTACTGATGCTAGTTGTCATCATCGGTTGTTTCAATGGCGATCCGATCAGACAAATGCTAACCTCGGCCGACTGAATAAGCACACCACGTTGCAAACCCCTTGACGTCGGCAGCACTGGGGGCCTGCCCAAACAACTGGGTGACGTACGGTCTCGACTGCTACTGGAGCTCCACCTACACAGCCACCTGGAGGGACGCGCGCACCGCCTGCCTCGCCATGGCGTCAGGCTCTGACCTCGTCAGCGTGCACAGCGCGTAGGTGAAGTTTGACAACCGGTCAATGACGTCACAGGACAGCAGCGAGGCGTCACGGTATCCTGCTGCTACTGACGCTGGGCGGAGGCGCCGTGCATTCACTCGAGCTGGTTTGTGTGCAAGTGTTTGTGGGCGCGCCTTAAGGCCTCATGGCCCGAAGCTCCGCCAGTAATAGTCGAGGGGGTCCACAGTGGCCTCAGCTGACGCACAGGTCGGTCACAATGTCAAGTGTGAGCACTCCCGAATGTGACGCGGTCGCACTCACCCATCGCTACGCTCAATGCCACCGTTTTGTATTCCTCATTTTCAACGCCTTCTTGGCGATAAAAACGCCGACGTCCTGTTTGGCGAGAAATCGAACGGTACTCGAACGGTACAAATCGAACGGTACTCCTTCCAGGGCTGAGGCCAACTTTTTGTTCACGCAAATGGGCGCCATGGACACGTGGATTGGCCTCAACGATCTCAGCAGCGAGAACAACTTCGTCTGGTCCGACGGCTCATCGGTCGACTTTACGGTGAGTTTGCACAGGTCAGGCCGGGTCCTAGCGAACATGTACGGAGAGCTGAGTTTTGAAGGTAGAGATCAAGCGCAGTATGAAAAAGTTATTCAGTTAACTCAGTTGTAGTGAGTCCATACAATATCAACATTTGGTATGGCAAAGCATTAATCTTTTTTTGGTCCCAAAGTCCTTACAATGTTTCCGGTATCAATGCCGTGAATCATCCTCTTGATTTTTTGGCATAGAAAGACTAGGCTTTTTAACTACTCTAATTGGTTTCATTAATTTTCTAAGATTTTGATAAAGCACTTAAGAGTATTTCATAAGCCCAATCTGTTCTCAAAGATAGGCCGTATGATTGCGTTCCCCGCCTCAACACCTTGCATGGGTGCACATGGGTGAAACACAGGCAAACAGGTTATCACCTCGATCAGTGACCAGTTCCTTCATCTAAAGTTGATAACTTACCCCAAGTGACGACACTGAAATAACTCAATTTCAGCCAGGCTGACGATAGTGAAACGGGCAAAATTAATCGACAGAAACAAGGTTATTAGCGAATTATGTGACTGATGCATGGGTTACTTAAACATCAGTCTTCTTTTTATGCGGCGATCTGGGTCTATAGCATGTTTGTAGCATATCTCCAGGCAATTTTTCAGGCGTGTTGACCGGAACGAACGAGGTAGACACCCCTTTTTCTTGTTCCTGTAGAACTGGATGGACGGCCAGCCGAATAACCTGCTGGACCAAGACTGTGTTAACGTCCAGGACCCGGCCACGGGGAAGTGGGATGACAACCACTGCAAAGAGAACAAGAACTTCATATGCAAGATCAGGGGATCTTCTTAATCCAAACAGAAGGAGGAAGACTACCACATAATACAAGAGTATTGTATGTGTGTTACATCGCCGATGGTGGTGCTGCGCTGCATATTGAGACCTGGTAACAGATTGTTTCGAGACTAACGACCAGGCCGGCGCATCGCCGCGTCATGACGTATTAAATTCGCACCAGACGAAACTGCAAGACAGCACATCTCTCAAACGCATGACCATTTCACAACGCAAACTGCACGATAGAACATCTTTTAAACGCGTAGCCATTTCACAATGCAATACTGACCAATGAATGCGTCCGCCTATGGAAGGAGGAAACTCTCACGATAAACCACTGCAGTTGTGATCCGATGTTTTGCAAAATAAACTCATCGGAATGTACCACATTTATGCTTGATGAAATCGGGGCCTTCTGCTTGTCTAGCGAATTGAATAGATATGTGACTGGCACAAATGAAGGTCAGCGACCCATCGGCTGTAAGTACCCAAATGGCTGGGGTGGATCAGGATACCATCCAAACAAGATTGTGCTCAAGAGAAAAATCGTGCCAGGGTTGCACAATGCCAGATAGTGTATGCTTTCGCCACTCTCAACCATACGCAGACGGTTTGTCGCTGCCTCATCACATCTGAGGTATATCACCACATCTGGGCCTTTATGTAAACACAATGTGCAGACGGGTATGTCCAACAAGGACATCTGTGTTTAACTCCGGGTGAATCGCACCCAGCCCACTCGAGATGCTTGAGAGCTGAGTCCTGAGTTAAACGATTTGATTACAATGAGATGAAAGCAACTGAAATTTAAACCTGGGCAAAGTCCATCAAATGATTCGACCTGCTTTTCGATAAGTGACTCGAATCGGCCGTTCATTCAAACAAACGGCTTCGCTCGATTTGAGCTCTGACCAGGGGCGGTGCCGCGGATTTTGAGCAGAAGGGGCAGGATTTGTTAGGCAGCCTCTTGGACAATATGGGGCCTCCGCGCAGGACCTCTTGGGCAACATCGCAAACAAAAGGGAGGGGAGCACTGGCGCACGTACTGCCGTATCAAATTGTTACATCATCAATATCCATAAAAATAGAGATAAAAATTAAAATGTTCCATAATGGGGGGTCTTCTCACTAATACAGGGACCTTCTCGGTAAAGCAAATAGCTACCCTATCCTGAAAGGAGCCTCCTGTTGCAGAGAAGGGTGCTCGTGACGTATTGAGGGTATCTCCTAATTCAGAGCAGGGGCCTCCCAGTTCACAACGGAGGCCTTCTAAGCCAGCAAAGGGCCTTTTTAACACAAAATGTGGCCTCTAAAGGTAGGAAATAGGCTACATACCTCAAAAAGGTCTTCACACGATCAAGAAAGTTGGTCTCTTCATGCGGAAAAAGGTCTTCTGAACCAAATTTAGTGCCCTCTAGCCCAGTCTTGACACTCCTTGGCCTGAATTCTGATAATACTTTTTTATGTTTTTCCACAGAAGTGAAAAAGCGTTTGTTGGGGAAAAGAGTACTTCCCAAAATAAAAAGCATACTTTTCCCCCACCCTGCCTGCCGGCAGGGGGGTAACTTTCCCTCTGATCCCCCCCCCGCGCCGCTTCTGCCTCCGACTCTAAATGAGGAAGATATCATTTGAATCTGAGGTATTGGAATTCCAATAAACGTGACTGAAATCTAAATTATGGCGTCCAAAATGTCATATGCGAAAATGAATTGATGATGTTGCTACCAGTTCTTTCAATCCAATTGCATTTACTACGATCAACGAGAAACCATCTTCAATGGCACTTATGGCTGGACGTTAATTCGGGCCGACTCAACTCAAATTCATGTGGTTTAGTAAACCGAAATTGAGTCGGGACTGATTCCGAATCACCTAGCCACCAAAAACATTGCAAGCTTGATTCCGCCAAACTTCGGAACATTCCGATCCGATTCTGATAATCATTCAAAACAAGCACAAGCCTGCCAACAAGGCGCACGGGTGTTTTAACACGGTCCAATCCCGTGGATTCTGAAACAGAATCCAGTCCGGACTATTTGACTCTAACCCAAACCATCCAGCTGAGTCCCGTGAGCGAAACACAAAGCAGGCGCACGGCCAGCATACTGCCTGCACGCACCCGCACGCGTAGGCCGTCTGGGCACCTTCGTTCCAACTGCGTGCTGAGCGATCGCAGAGAACTGCCTTCGCGCGGAAAAACAAACAGGCCGCCGCCGCGGCGCCTCCGCTCTTGCCCTCCCGTTAGCGTGCGGCGTTTTAGCGCGCAGTAACTCAGCCCAGCACAGAGTGGTGACGTGTCGACCGGTCCAAAGTCACGTGTTTACGCCGCGGGGACGGACGGCCCGCGCAGCGAGCGGCGGTAAAACACAGCCGCGAGCGATTGGGACCACCTGCCCGATGCTCACGACCGGCAGCCGACCTGCCCATCCAGCAACGAGGAAAGGTGGACCGGCGAAGGTGTCCGAACACCAAGTCGAAAGAAGAATGTCGAACGATGGAAATTTAAAAAAAAATTAAGTCGAACCAAAAGGTTGAGAGGGATGAAAGTCGCATGGAAACAAAGGCGAATGAAGGAAAAGCCGAAGGATAACAATTCAAAGAGGCAAAAGTCGACACGGATGGAAATCGAAACGAAAAAGGTCGAACGAACAAGGTCGAAGCGGATAAATATTGAGTTAAAAAGTCGAAAGACAAAAGGCCGGCAGGGATAATAGTGAGACTTGACAGAGATAAAAGTCAAATCGGGAAACAGTGGGAGAGAAAGAAAGTCGACAGGAATACAAATTGGAAAACACTTCACTTGTAGGAACCATGAGCCATGGCTAGCGATTGTACAAGAACTGGTGGAAACTGGACAAGAAGGGGCTGGTGTTTAAGGAAAGTCAATGGAAACCAAGAGCTAGGTTCTAGCGTATGTGAACGAAGTAGTGAAAGCCAATACCACATATTTGTATTTGTGAAAGAATCAGTGAAAGCCAGGAACAGGATGCCACGTTTGCAAAACAGTTAATAAAATCCAAGAGCCAGGCGTGAGGGCGTATGAACTAATGAGTCGGAAAAAGGACCCAAAATCTCATTTTCAAAAAAAGGCAATGAGAACCAGGAACCAGCATTGGAAACCAGACACATTTCTGCGCCAGCACTAGAAAAAACGACATTTGCCACAGGCACTGCTGCAGCTCGCCACCTCCTGCCGTGGCAGCCTGTGTTGCTCGCGACCGTCCCAGAAGATGATTAAAAAGGAAGTTGTGGATATGGATAGCAACTATCAGGGAACCCATGGCACACCATCCACCTAATAGCCCTAGGGCGCGTTCTGCAGGGCTTTGTCGTGAAAGCTTGAGTGGTGTTTTCCTGCCATAAGCGTTTGCCGGATGAGGGGTGTGCGCCCACATTTGAGAATCCACGGATTTATTACAACTTTTTTCTTATTCAAAATTTTCCCTGTCGATCTTTTACCCGTTGGAATGTTTTGAAATTTTTTACTCTGTCTACTTTTACCCCATTCGACTTTGTGTCCTTCACCTTTTTTGCGATTGCGCTTTTATCCTTGTCAATTTTTTGTGCTCTCCGATTTCACTTTTATCCATGTCGAATTTCATTGCTTTCAACTGCTTTCGTTAGAACTGTTTCATTGGGATTTTCATTCGACTTTTTGTTCGAGTACCGTACTGGCAGGGCACAGTCTGCAGCGATGTGACGGTCTGCTTGGGCACAGTCTGCAGCGATGTGACGGTCTACTTGGGCACAGTCTGCAGCGATGTGACAGTCAGTGTGGGCACAGGCCGCAGCGACGGGACGGTCTGCTTGGGCATAGTCTGTAGCGATGTGACAGTCAGCGTGGGCACAGTCTGTAGCGATGTGACAGTCAGTGTGGGCACAGTCTGTAGCGATGTGACAGTCAGTGTGAGCACAGTCTGCAGGCATGTGACAGTGGTCGAGTTGTGTTCAATTGGCAGAGACAGGCGGCACTGGACCAATCAACTATACTCTTCGTGTTGAATAAGGGACGTAAGGAACTATTCAGCAACGTGGAGACAGGTTCAGTCCACTCAATGCTCCACAGGACTTTCCATGCCGCAAAGTACCATTAAGCTGTTACAACGTCTTTATCACGTGCTGGCATTGGTATGCATTGTGAACGAATAGTCAGCAAAGCAGCATAGCAAGAACAAAACACATCCATCTTTAATAAATTCGGGTACCATTAAATGACCATTGGCCGTGCCATTAAAGCAGAATTTAGCATTTTGGTTTTGGATGGCGGTTTCCAATCAAGGCCTAAAGTTAAAAACTTTTCCATTGAACATCTGTGGGGATTTTGGCTTTATCATTGGTAGTCAGCCAAACTCAGTGCCGTGCTGACGTTTGTGGGCCATATCGCACGCTTGCTTTTCCATCGCCATGGCGCTATCATGCCACTTTTTCATTGCCGTGGCGCTATCATGTCTCTTTTTCATATAATTCATTAATATATCATTTCATCGCAAAAATCACCTCCGTTATACCAAAAAGACGCATCGTGCGGCGTGGCACAAGCGAGGCAATGCAAGGTGCGAGTGTTTCCGACCTTATCCCAGTGTGAATACTGCCAAAACTTGGGCTGATGAGCCAGGCACATTTGGTGATTCACATCAATGGATCCAATCAGCGCGTTGGCAAGCCACCTTCTCATGAGTATTCAGCAGGGAAAGGTTGACGAATGTGACGTTTGCGCTCATTTCGTGAATTCACAAGACCCGAAAGTAGTTGGCACCGGGCTAGGCCAGATCCGACAATTTTGACCGACAAAATCTATGGATTTATCATGATTTTCGGTGCAAAAACTCAACTAGGTAGCACGGCTGAGCGAACGCTTGCCACAGTGCCCCCACTCAACTTCGTAGGTTACGTGGCCCAATCGCGGTCGGTTTAAGCCACAGGGTGTTGTACTCGCAGTCGATTTAAACCACAGAGTGTTGTATTCGCGGTCGGTTTAACCCGCAGGGTGCAGGGTATTCGCGGTCGGTTTAACCCGCAGGGTGCAGGGTATTCGCGGTCGGTTTAACCCGCAGGGTGCAGGGTATTCGCGGTCGGTTTAACCCGCAGGGTGCAGGGTATTCGCGGTCGGTTTAACCCGCAGGGTGCAGGGTATTCGCGGTCGGTTTAACCCGCAGGGTGCAGGGTATTCGCGGTCGGTTTAAACCACGGGGTGTTGTATTTACTGTCGGTTTGAAGCACAGGGTGCTGTATTCGCGGTCGGGTTGGACCACAAGGTGTTGTATTTACGGTCGGCTTGAAGCACAGGGTATTGCATTCGCGGTCGGTTTGGACCACAGGGTGTTGTATTGGGAACCAGTTTGAGAAAGGTGACATTTTCCGCTTGACGGCCAATTACTGGCACACCAGTAGTAAGCAGGACAGTATGGAGATTGTTTGGTGAGTGGGTGGTACATTCGTCTACATTACGCGACTGGCTTCACGCCAAGATCGCATAAAAATCCATATTGTATTTATTCGGATTGCATTTCTTCGTACACAAAATATTGTACATAGATCTCTGAATCGCATTTGTTCATGCTCATAGCATGTGCAGATCTTTGGATCCCATTCCATCGTAGCCAAATTAAACTCGCCGATCGAGGCACGGGCATCTAAGTGTAGCAAATCCTGGTGCAAAATATTTGTATGCGACCATTTGCATCCGAAAATTTCGTTTCTTGCATAATTTCAATCTGCCTAACCTCGGATAACAGATACCCGATTTTCACATCGCCTTTAGTCTTATACGCACTTCCTCTTGTCGCATTACTTCGGACAGCACTTCGTCGCAACACCTGCCTCCTCGCTTCCCATGTCTTTGGGCACGGATTTCGTCGTGCTGCATTTCTTCATACGCCTGGTTCTTTGTATCACCTGTCTTCGCAATGCATTTCTTCACCCACCCTTTCACGTGAAATTTAGTTTTGCGTAAGAATCCTGTGTGCAAGATACTTGGTACCGAGAGCTAGGCCGTTGATGCCATTGTCCTGGTTATTCCGTAATTCGGTCAGCGTCATCCTTCCCTCTGACTGTTCCCTACTGATAATGATATCCGTAGCAACAACATTATTTATCTCCCCTCATGCATATCATGATTTTCTGTCGTCCTGTTTGATCTTATAAGGCTGGTGAATCATGTGAGTCTTTTAGCCACTCCCAGTTCCCATATACCAGTCATTCAAGTGTTGGAGAGTTAAAGCCAGGATGTAGCTTTCTCTTCAGATTCGGGGGTAAGGGACGTCCTGCCACTCAACTTTGGGAAGAAAGCGTGTCAAATTCGCGGAGAATATGTTTTCCTGTGTTTTTGTGATAGTTTATGGACGAAGCTTCTTGAGGGGTAGCAGGAATGTCCCTGAAATTTCCACAAACTGCTGATTTTTTCCTCCAATTCTTTTCACAGATGCACGCTTTTCACGCTTGCCCATTTAAGGTGCCATTTTTATGTTTGTCTCCTCCAGATTTCATTTTGACAACCAACCCTGATTTAACCTCCCCAATCCCAGATGTGGTCACACCCAGTGATAGATTTGGCCATGTTCCCTGCTCAGCTCCTCCCTCCAACCTATTTTGCGGAAAAAAACCCTACTCGGGCCGATGCGTCACAAACTTCAAGTTCACACTCTAGCAACCAAACGAGCTTAATGACAATTGCTGCATCTATGACAGTGTCTTTCAGCCCTTTTCATTTCCACTGATGGACGAAAATGCAGCAGCGGGTCTCGCTGCCCCCCGAGGAGCAGCAATTTGATTTTTCTGCGACCAAGCAACAAATCTGAATTAAGAAAGGCCTAGTTATTCTTAATAGCAAGATAAGGCATGTTGCTGAAAGCTACAGAGAAGTACTGCTAAAATGCAATAGCGACTGCATTTGAGCAACATAAACCGAATCCCAAAATTTAGCTCACAGCATCTTGCTTGTGCCAGAACACTTAATCTAAGTGGCATCGCAACCCTTTTTGGCTGCTGTAGCACATATTTCCAGCTCAGCGCATGTGGTGCATGACAGTGCATGTAGTACTGCCACCTTCCAGTCAGCACCTACCTGTTTGTTCTGCCTCTGGTTATCGTCCTCGACTCAGCATGATTTGGCTGCATCGCCATTCCTCTGAGATCCTTGTATTTCCCTTTTGGAGGAGGCCTCTCTGGTTGGTAACGCATAATGAAGAGCTGTCTGGAGACAACAGTTTCCAGCCCTGTGAGACGGCGTATAAGGATTTCACATTTTTTTTTATTCGAGGCAGACACTTCGACAATACAGCCTTCACTACGAGTCACATCGCGCTCTGTGACATCCCGCTTTACACGCCGTGAGTCCTGAATCCGGACGTTTCCGTCATTCGTTGTCGTTTGTTTTTTGTGCGTTTCTGGGCCTTCTGGCTTCGTTAATGGCTTTCATCTGCCAATATGCCCGTCTTGTCATAAAACATTTGAGGAAAATAGGGACAGATTTGCGCAAAACGTTCTTTGCTCACCGCACTCCGCGTTGAGGTTCTTCTCTGAGTTTGAAGAAGGGCCTGGACACTACTCCAGGAGTGGTGCTGGACAATGCTCTGGGCATGGTGCCCGCCTCAGGCCGCTGCAAAACTGTGGACGTAGAGTGGTGGCGCGAGATGAGACAGCGGTAGCGCACCGTGGTTCCGATGGAGCGCCCAACGGTGACGCAGTTTTGCAAATCACTCACCACAAGGGGGTACTTCGTTGATGGCTCTCCCCACGTAAAGTTTTCCGGGGGACCCGACAATATCATACCATTCACTCCTCCCTCAAATCCGCTTCTGCCCACTGGACGTATACATTGCCAAAGACTATCAACAAAGCTGAGTGACAGTAGTACTACATGTAGTGTTACACAGAGCAGTGTTACACGCTGTGGCATTTTCACATGTGACACACTCGTCTTCGGCACCAACTCGCTGACTCCCCGTGGAATACAGTAAAGTCAGCAATCGATAATGTAAACAGATGCCGCTGGTGCCTAATCTACAAGCTAACCATCATATACATAATAGCTCCCTTACCAGGTGATAGCCAGCTTGCTCAGACCACCAAGCTTTGGTCGTGAGTGTATGCCTATAAACGAGAAAAATGCGCCAAGGTATATTGTTTCGTTAAGACCTTATCAGCTACAAGAGTCTTACGCAAACCCGTACCCATACGGCTAGTTTTTCCAAAGCCTGTGCCCGACGAGTAACCCTTCCAAATGGGCACCCATGGGATTTTCCAATCGGCGAGACCCTCCACCCAGCTCCGCCAGACCGCCCTTCGAACTCGCCGGTCCGCCTCTCAGATCCATCAGTCTGTCAGACCTACGAGCTCGTCATCCAGACCTACCAATCCACTTCCCGGACTCACCAGTCCCCTCCAAAGACCCACCAGACCATCAGTTCGCTCCCAGACCACCACCACGCTCTCAAAACCCACCATCCCACTCTCCAGACCTATCAACCCTTCCCCAGACCCAGCAGTCTGCTCCTCAAACTCGACAGCTCTTTCCCCAGACCCAGCAGCTCACCCCCCCCCCTTCCCAGGACTCAGCAGCCCTTCCCCAGACCCAGCAGTCTGCTCCTCAAGCCCAGCAGCTCGTTCCCCAGACCCAGCAGCTCACCCCCCCTCCCTCCCAGGACTCAGCAGCCCTTCTCCAGACCCAGTAGTCTACTTCAGAGACCTATCAGCTCGACGCAGTCTCAGCAGCTCACCCATAGACTCAGTAACCCCCTTCCCAAGCCCAGCAGTCTACTCCACAGATCCAGCAGCTCGCACCCAGGCTCAGCAGCTCACCCCCAGACACACCAGTCCTCTCCCGGGCCCAGCAGCTCGACCCCTCCAGGCTCAGAAGCTCACGCCCAGACTCGGCATCTTTCTCGCCGGGCCCAGCAGTTTGCCCGACAGATCCAGCGGCTCCCTCCCCAGACTCAGATGCTCGCTCGCAGGTTCAGTAGCCCACTCCCAGACCCACAAACTCCCCAGCCTTAGCAGCTCGCCCGAGACTCGTCAGCTCTTCCCCATACTCAGCAGCTCTTTCCCAGGCTCAGCAGCTCGCCCTCCAGCCCGCTCCCAGACCCAGCAGCTCCTCCCCAGACTCAGCAGCTCTCTTCCCCAGATTCAGAAGCTTACCCCCAGAAACAACAGGCCGCCCCATTCCGTCGAGGCCGACTCGGGCCGTCGTCGCGTCGGCCGCGCCGGCGGAGTCCCGCCAGTCGCCGCGTCGCCGCCGATGGGGACGCGCGTGTCGTCGACGCCGTCGCACGATGGGTGGCCGGGCAGCCCGGCCGGTGCATGGCGTTGCGCTCCCGCTGCTGGTGACCTGCCTCGTCACAGGTGAGGGTCACAGGCGCCACCCACCACCGGCGCCCATATCGTTTGAGTGGACGCACCCACAAATATACGTGAAGGCAAACATTTATAACAAAATGTATACGTTTTTAACAAAACGCTGCCACCTAATCTCGTTATAAAGACCGACTCTTGTTTATTATTAGCATGTTAACACAACACCCTTAAGAACTGTTCTGATCGAAAGCCCTACCTCGTGCCCTTATGCTACTGTACTTCTCCCAGTTGCACCGCAGACTGCATGTCGGCACGAAATCTGTGGTCTGCGGCCATCAAAGGCTCTGCGTGATGCATGTACAGCAGCATACTGACACGAAGCCACTCCGGCTCACCGAAATGTGTTCATGGGCCTCGTTCTGGGGACGCGAGCGGCCAGGCACAAGCGCGAATGGAGTCCTTGGGAGGTGGCAAATAATGCATCGGTAAGAACTGGCAATTTCAGACCGGTATTGAAGGCCAGGTGACGCCCTGACAGTAACGTCATGCAGTGGTATCGGCAGGCCAGGTGACACTGACGGTGGCGTCATGCAGTGACAATGGCGGGCCAGGTGACACTGACGGTGGCATCATGCAGTGATATTGGCGAGCCAGGTGACACTGACGGTGGCGTCATGCAGTGACATTGGCAGGCCAGGTGACACTGACGGTGGCGTCATGCAGTGACATTGGCGGGCCAGGTGACACTGACGTTGGCGTCATGCAATAGTATCGCGGGCACAATGATATGGTAACACCGGCAATGACCATGGGAGTGTACTTTTGCTATTGTTTGCGCAGGAGATGCTGTTGGGCCGGGTTGCCTGAAGGCAACAGCCACCTGCGTGGTAAGAGAACGGCCGCCTACGTAGTGAGGGAACGGCCACCTGCGTGATAAAGGAACGGCCACCTGCCATCTGCGGGGACAGTTCACTTTTAACTATTCAAGAGGTGACAATCCACTGCCGTTTGTAAATCTCAGTTATCGGCATTGTCCTGTCTTGCTGCGCGGTACTGATGACCACTGACCTCTGACAGGATTTAGTTCACGCCTTGCTCTGTGGGAGCAGTGATTCTCAATAATAAATAATCAGATGCCTTTTGTCGGCACACAATTGTTGCTCTATCACCGCGCGCAGCCCAGACTGTTGCAAGTGAATGTTTAGATGCTACGAATTTTACTACAATTATGCTTGCAGTTTCATCTTCCTGTAGAAAACACCCCACTTGCTGCTCAGCGGGGCTACTGTGCACATATCTGCTGCGGATGGTAAAACGCTTTGAATGCGTCGTTCATTTGCAGATCTGGAGAATTGCCTTACCAAGCTATGTTTCTCGGGCTATATCAAAAGCTATCCTGCAACTTTATACCTGTGTGCTCATAAGCGCTCACGGATATTTCAGACCTAGCATACGCCGACTTCCTCTTTCCAAGGATCCATGGCAAGAACTCGTTACTTGCGCTGCGGCCGAGATCAGAGCAGCTACGCTCGTAATCAATGAATGAAGTCCAATCTAGTGCCGAAATTGCATCGCCCTGGTAAGCCAAGTCTAGACGGTCAAAATCCATCAGTACGGGTCCATTTACATGGAGGGCCAAAGGAGTCCGGGAGTAAAAGTTTCTCAATAAGAGAGTTTAAGTGTTTCAACAAATCCTGTTGCAGCAATGCTGCTTGGAAAAGAGGCAACTTCAGAACGTCATCCGGATATTAATGATAATCTAGCTCGTGAGAAGAAGCCATCTGTGCTTTGCTACAGTTGGTCCATCGGAGAAAATAACATTTTGGCACATTTTGTGCAATGATCTGTGAAACGATTAAAGCCCATCGAATGGCTTTGCATGAAACAATCATTTGACACGTGCTGGGAAGTATTTATGGTAAATGAGCATACAAGCTCGTAACTTGTATGCACAGGAATGGCGCTGGCGCTTCCTTACATTTTCCCCCTGCGACTCACTTAGTCGAAGACGCGATACAACTCCATAATCAAAGCTTTCGACGCAAATCTGCCTGATTTGGGGACTTTGTTTTGTTGTCAAAAATGCTTATGCGAACTTACATCGTGCGTGTCGACAAAAGCTTTTAAATGGCCGGTCATGGCATCACGTGATGCTCTTCTTTGCATTGAGCATGCTTTCAGAACAGTTCGCATCTGTTGGCGCCATCCCACTTCCTGTTTTTTATCACTTATGCGATTCCTGCGTTTGAAATTAACCACATGTTAAAGAGAGTTCAGGTTCTAAATGGATCATTTGTGTGTCTCGCATTCCGTACGTAATTTGGTAGGTATTCCGTATTCCTTTAATGTGTCGTGTTGCACTAACTGCCGCTCCGGACTGGCATTCAAATGGGGTCAAAATTTATTGATATCACTTGCAGGGCAATCGGGAGGCGTGCCTTCAGAATATACGGGCGGTGATATGAGAGCCTTTGTGTTTCAAGACTGTGGTGCCCCGAGGCAATTACTGCCGCCACGGCCCATGCCCAAATTCCGCACAAGCGGATCTGACGCTAGCAATGCAGTATTGACGAGGGAACAAAGGCTCTCGTCGGACATTTGTTACAGGAAACTAGCGTCACGGTGTCCTGGGAAATGCGTTGGTTTCTATGATAACTGGATTATGCGAACACGTCAGGCCCCAGCGGGTAAGTCCCGACGACTGCCGGCGCCAGCGTGCCGCCCTGCACGCAACTGTCGCCGGCCATCGCGTCAAGCCTGGTCAAAACTGACCCCTGCCGAGCACACCAGCCGCCAACACGGGTGACGCCCTGCGCGCTCCCCGCGTGCTCCCCTGCGATAACTCAGGGCGCGGGGTTCATCGAAACTCTGCTCCCTCTACGCGCGCCTCTAAAAACAATAAGCCGGTTCGGAAATTGACCGTAACGGAGGGCCGTTAGTCAGCGCACCCCTACCGCACGTCTGGGACAGAGACGAGCCGACTGCCCTGGATCAATCTCGCTGACAGCGGCCACTGGTCGCCGCGGGGGCCTGCGGGTCACACCCGTCCCCCTCACGCCCTCTCGGCTGGCTGATGTGTGGACTCGCGACCCCCCCCCCCCCCACGCAGAGGCGTGGGGCGGCGCTCGCGGGTCCATTTCAAGTGAGGCTGCTCCCGCAGGAGGGCTCTTTATGGAGCCGTTTGGAAGGTGAACTGCCCGCGGCCCAGATGAGGGATGGAATTGCAGAACTAAGGGATGAAGTTGCGTTGTTTAATTTCATCTCGGCTCTGATGTGCTCTGCCTGCGACTTTGGATGGGGAGCACGGGATGTAACGGCGTCGTGTAACGAAGATCACCGCAGCCAGATGGGCATCCATCCCTCCATGGGCCCCAAGTCAGCTTCCGCTGAAGCAGCAACATTACTTGTCAGTTACGGTTAGTCTTGAATGATTCATTCATAATTCCACAGATAATGTGACGTTTGATCCCAAAACTTTTAACTTGTTTTTGATAAAACTCTTGCAGCCTGCGCTGAGTTAATGCAGAGTTCTGACAAGCACGTGAGAGTTTTAAACGTTTTTCACCGCCAATGGTACAAACCTATCTGAACCTAACGTTCCCTGACAGTACCTAACCTGCCGTCATACCAGTGATGAAACATGAAGTTACAAATAAAATATAACATGTATAAAGCTGACGGACTGAAGATGACACATGGCTTGTAGTTATTGCAGTTCGCACGCGGTCCTGCTGTTTCTCGTATTTGAAATGCTTGACATCTTAAGTTGATGATAGCTCTTCTCACCATTGCATGACTGTTATCCAAGCGTGCGCACCAGGATGGCTTATGGAACAGAGCAAGTCAAAAATGGGATCCCAGGGAAGAGATCCTGAATGAAATCGGGCACCCTCCGGATCCTCCCAAGATCTTAAAAGTTATCGTGATGTCAACACACCATCAGCACTAAAAAACATCTTTTGGGCCTCAAAAAGCTCTAAAAACACGTACCCAGGCAATAGTCTCCATCGACATAGCTCCCACCACACCCCGAAATAAGGTCATTCTACAATGAGAACGGCGAGAAGAGCTCCGCCGGCCGCGATCTCCCGTGCCGGTGCTCCACGAGGCGGCGGCCGCCTGGCTCCGGAGTCAACGACCGCCGCCGGCCGAGCGCGGCCTGCGCGCCCTGGCCAGCTGCAGCCGGCCCACTTCAGAGGGCGTGGCCGGAGCGGGGCGGTCGGGTGCAGGGCGGTCCCAGCTGCGTGTGGCCGGACCGGGTGTCTGCAGAGGTGGCCCGTCATGGGAGACGGACGAATAAGTGCCGCACGCTGCTCGTGGCGAGGCGGCGGGCAGGGGAGGGGGACATGCGGAGGGTGTCTGGCTGCGACGTGATGTCGCAGTTCCGATCCTTGTGGGAAAGGAGATGGCGATGTACGGACGCGGTCGGAAGACAAGATCACGCCAGACGACAGGGCGGTGACACGCGTGGCCGTGCCAGACGACAGGGCGGTGGCACATGTGACCGTGCCAGACGGCGGGGTGGTGGCACATGTGACCGTGCCAGACGAGAGGGTGGTGGCACATGTGGCCGTGCCAGTTGCCAGAATTGCATTCAAAACATGGCTGCATTTCCTGACCAATAAGAAGTTAGTGGTTGAAGCAGTTTTATGGCATACGGGGGTTCGAAGGCACTCTTACGTTTTTATTTTTTGGCCATCTGCCGGCTGGTGAGCTCTTTGCATTGACTACCGTCCGCAGAGTTAATGTTTGGGCTGTTGACAATATCAGACCGTTTTTGTCGGAAACATGGTAAATACGAAGAGTTTATCACGGGATAGGCTGTAAAAAACGTATGCGTCCCTTCCATCCGCGTTTCGCGAATCATCCTGGTTGCGTGTACGCGTACATTTGTTGCCAGACAGTAGTGTGCTGCTAATAAACTGGTTTAACCACATGTTATCATTATCACAGTGAGGCAGCAGACAAAATTAATTTTCAAATATATGACAATATCTGGTGACTGCGACGATGACATGTATAGAAGAGCTTTCATGCTTCATGCTGATATGCCCGTTCACGTGCGAATGGAAGTACTCGTGCGTGCAAATGAGAATTCATTGGACATTTGCAGAGTGGCACAATGGTTGCCAGCCATCGCTCCGGGGCACATTTCTTCAGAATTGCGACGAAACTTCTCGAGCAATTCTCATCTGAACCAACTAAAGGCTAACCGAGTGCGTACTAACGAGTGACATTGTACCCTAATGCACGCCGACTCGGGAAATGGGACGGAAATTACTCAGCGAATGGGACTCAGCTGATCAGAAGAGCGCGTTAGGTCTTCTGAGAGCCGACGACGCTGCAATTAAGCGGTGCGTTCTGTTCCGAATACAATCCCAGCTTGGAGTTCACGCATTTAACACACTTAACACAACATGCACCTTTAACGCTAGTGTAGTTCCGCAGCCGGGCCTTCGCAAACAGGCCAACCCATTGGTCTCACATTTGTTTGCAGTTGGAATTGCAGCCATGCCGTTAGCCGATGTGTTGAAGTCATGTGAAAAATGAATATCAATGCCTAGTGAAAATTTTACACTTGTTTCATTTATTAAAGCTGGGAAAGCTTGTTAACCTTTTGGTCCTTATACAAGTCTTGTATCAGGATTGGGAGGTGACGTTTTGACAGCGAGGAGAAGGGGACAAACAAGAATATATGTTTTATCTGTCATTGTTCAACCTCCGGGTAACCCAAATGCTTAGGTTCTAGACCAAGTAAGCTAATTAAAGAAACACTTCGCCCAAATTCGGCATCAGTAATACTTTTTGCTACTTTGCCGTCAGTGAATCACACTAATCATAAGTTGTAACCCACATAAAGATAGCAGATGTTCATCAGAACGGGCACGGCATAAGTGGGTATTTGCAACTTAACCATTTTTGAGCGTCACTCGCGACGTGTTTTACCTTTACACGCAAGTTCATCGATCGGCTTGACTGTCTTGCTGATCTTACTGATCGGCTTGACTGTTTGCCAGACAGAGTCAGTCATACTTCACGGGGTTACACCATGTCGCCACCCAGGTCATGTGGTGTTAACTTATGAGGGTCGATACAAAATGTTTTGTTTCGCTTATAGTAATAAATAAGTCGGTAAAAAGTCACATTTCCAAGCGAATCACTTTTGAATCCCATGCGAATCAGAAGAACCGATTAGATAATTAGGTGATAAGGATTACATTAGGTGATTAGGCGAATCGACCCCCTCCCCTATCAGGGCAGGGCTTACATAATGACACACCTTGACCTTTCAGGATTATTCCCCCGCCCAGCCGAAGGCGGGTGCCGAAATATCTCAGACGGTGCAGGGCTTACATATAACAACCGTCATTTATTCAACGCAAATTGCAATTTAAACTCCACTTCATTTGCATTGCAAACTGCATTTAGTGTGATATGAGGTTCCAATGTCCATAGGATGCATAAACATTTAGGTGAGCACTTATTGCCCTACGTTGATTGCCATTCGGTCTGGACTGGATTCGTGAAATTGTTTCATCCTAATATGTGTCTCCATCACTTAAAAGTCTTCAACTACTGGGCTTCAAAACAAACTCAGACACTGCCCTCTCCCTATTCCCTAGCCCTATTCCGGCTACCCGAGAGCGCAAATTTCCTCTGCATTAAACCATCACCGCACATCTGTCTAATAACATCAACGATGCAATCTAGCGAGATTAGCAAAACCGTTTCATCTGCCAGTCATCGGTTCGAACCAATTCGCAGAGCCGTTCATGTGGAAACAGCAATTACATCTTCAGGAGGACAGCTGCCTCCGCCGCCGCCACTCGCCAGACCGCAGGCTCGTCATCTCAGCCGTAACCGCCCGTCAGCCCCCTCCCCCTCCCCTTCCCTCCCTCCCAGCACTGGGCGCGTCGGCGGCGACGCCCGGCTGGAGTCGACGATTATTCAGCGCCGTCTCAGGGCCTCCCCGTCGCATCGACGATGGCAGCCTTCAGGTGCGGGCAGTCAGCGACGGGGGATGCCCCGGGCCGCTGGACCGCCGCCGCGCTCTGATCCCGTCATCAGCACCGGAGGCGCCGCATCACCTCCGACGAGTCCCTGGCGGCGATCCGCGCGAGCGCCTGCTCGCCGCCGGCCGCAGCGTCAGTAACGGCGATGCGGCACCGGTTCGACGGTGGCTGATCAGAGGCGGACTGTGTCAGCGTCACGCTCGACGCGGCTGGACGCTACTCCAGGCGTGGTGCTGGACAATGCTCTGGGCATGGTGCCCGTCTCAGGACGCTGCAAAACTGTGGACGTGGAGTGGTGGCGCGAGATGAGACAGCGGTGGCACACCGTGGTTCCGATGGAGCGCCCAACGATGATGCGGTTTTGCAAATCACTCACCACAAAAGGGTACTTCGTTGATGGCTCTCCTCACGTAAAGCTTTCCCGGGAACCCAACAATGTTGCCGTGCGACTGTGCTCTAAAGCTTGTTTCCAGCCCCTCCTGAATGCGCTGCGCGTTGTGTCGCAGGTGTGGCCAGCATCCGCCTGTTGCACGCCGAGATCCCGCGCTTCGTGGCGTCCGGCCAGCACGTGCCGCTCTCGTGCCACGTGCTGCTGGCCTGGGGTGAGCGCATCTACGCGGTCAACTGGTACAAGGACGGCCGCGAGTTCTACCGGCACTACCCGGCCGAGGTGCCGGCCGGGCAGGTGTTCCACCAGCCCCACCTCAGCGTCGATGTAAGACCTCGCCCCGTCCGATGCAGTTGTGCGGTACTCCATGCGGTGTGACGGCTGTCGCGTTAACCTGGACTGACTGTAGGCGCCTTCTTCTGAAGGTCGTCGAAGATCATCTTGGATCCGTGCCTAAAACGCATTAAATATGCAACATCTGTGCATCGCGTTATACTCAGCAGGACGTAGACTATTTCCATAAATGCAAATCATTTTGAAATGCAATCCCGTAGCCTCCGAAAGTTACCGCTTCTGGTAGGTCTGGCGCCCACGTAGCAAACAACTTCTCTCACCAGCCAACGGACATGCCAACTGAACTTGGATAACTTGTATGGCCGTTCCCGTTGTCCTGCTGAACTTGAATTACTCGCACAGCTCTTTCAATAAGGCGCACTTCCAGTTTAACGGAGCGCGGCACAACGCCCCGGGTCATAAAGCAGCCGTCGCAGCCGTCCCACCAAATAGGTTAGTCATAATCGCTCAGCTCCCTCGCTCAGGGCTCCCCACATGAGCCCCGAGCCAGGCTACGTCGTCGCACACACTGGCGGTGTTCTCGATACGCCGCTCGCGCTGCCGCTACGACCTGCGTCGTAACGAGACTGGTGTATCTGCGGGCACAGGCGGCGGCGAGTAACGTCAGCACGGTGCTATTACGCCACATGACGGCAGCCGCCTCGGGGACCTACCGCTGCGAGATCTCCACCGAGGCGCCGCTCTTCAACACCGTCTCACGCCACGGCCGACTGCGAGTGGTCGGTGAGTCGGTGCGGTGGGGGTGAGAGCGGGGCTGGGAAGGGTGGAGTGAGGCGGGGCTGACCACTGGCCAGACGACGGGTACGGCGAGGTTGCCGTCGTCGGTGGTCGTCGGGAGGGCTGACTGGTGAGGTTACTGGCATCGGTGAGTCGCGTTATGATCATGCGAGTCATCGGGAGTCAGTTCGGTGCGTGCATGATCTGATCAGGGACTTTTAAAGGCTGGTTGAAAATCATTGAGGCATGAAAAAATTTGACGGAGATCTGTCATTAGCTGTTCGATGGCTTCTGACGATTGAGACTGTAAGCGCCGATGAGGTGGGCAGAGGGCTGCAAGTACGTGTTCGGCGGCCAAACGTCCGCAGTCTGTGCTTGTAAATAGGGTTAGTTGACGTCAGTGAATGAATTATTCGCCAAAATTGTGGAATGGACGTACTAGAAATTTGCGTGTGATAATTTTGTTCTGCTCAATTTTATACTCACCAGAACCAAATTCAACATGAAGGTGGGCCAGCAGGCCTTCATGTTAATAGCCAATACCAGTACTCTTGACAAATACGTTGCTACCTCTCGCAAAAGAAGGCTCAACTCGACCGCTGCGCCAAGAATTTCAGCTTAGAGTCGTTGGCAGGTCAAAATCTCCGCAGGAAAGCTCCCCACGCAGAAAACTCACAATAAGATGACAGGCCGTGGCAGGCCTAACTCGAGCTGTGAGGGTGCAAATTGCCTTCCCTTGTACCGGCATATTGCAGCACTTAACTCTAACAACAGCGAGAAACGTGGCGTCATCAGTGATTTAGAACGTGCGATTACGACGAGACGAGTCACGCAGTAGCAGAATAAGTCACTGATCTCCCGGCGGATCTTGCCAAGGACGAGTCAGTCTTATCTAAATTTGTCGAACGAAACAGAAGCCGTGAGTCGCAAACCAAACGTTGCACCTGATTAGGCACGGGGGAATCCTCTCCACCTTTCGCCGTCAACACAGTATTTTTTCTCGAACGCCATTCGAGTAACTCCACGAAGCTTTGAATTTCCAGTTCCTCACCCAAAACCTGTAACCAAATTATGCGGCATTTAAATCCGCTGTTTACGATGTGAAACGTTTGTTGATTCGTTACTTGATCATTTCCGATTCGCAGGATGTGAGCGGTATGCAACAACTGCTGCAGACCAGTCTAGGTGTTTTTTTGGTTCTATAATTTGATTATCGCTATATGGTCCAATTCCGTTGTTCCTTTGTTCCTCGGTATTGACGCAGCAAGATGATACAGGGCCGATTGATTCAACTGTCCGGAAGCCAGGTAAACCTTTCCGAAGTTTCGGAAGAAGTATTCTTTTAGGAAGTTTCTACATGCATCTGGTAGGATTCTGAAACAGGGTAAATATGGCCGCGTGGCCGCGGCCCGACGTTCGCTCGCATCTCCCAGTTAGGGAGAACTGAACGGCTCATGTGCTGATGAGTACGTCCTAACTGGCTTAAAGCGCTTGGATTCTTCATTCGCAAGCATATTAACAGGCGCTCGGGTGGAGGGGATCAAATTGACCCCCCAAAGGTCTTTCCAAAATGGTTTCCGAACGGCGCGGTGTAGTCACGCCAAATTTTGCATAGCTATAGACAATTGAATAGCGGATCATTTGGCATCAACGATTTAGATGTACCTGATAAGGCCACTGACCTATGGCAGTCAAAGTCAGACCATGGTTTCAGCGAAGACAATTTCTAGGGAATCCCCCAATCTGATCCAACAACGGAGTGTTAGACGAAACCATACATCTCTGAGATGCTTTCTTAGGCAACACAGCAGTTGAATGAGCATATTATATTGACCTAAGGTCATGTATGAAGGTCACACCAAGGTCGAAACCAACCTGTTTTGTTACTCTAGGGCTTGCCGTATGGGATGGTTTCTGTTGCTCATTTCGACCTTATTGATAGCGGGAGCCGCATTATACATCATCCATAGACTTCTTAGAGGTCATAATAGGTCATTGACCTAAAATGACGCAGGTCAATCTTTTGTTTTAGGAACATACTGCCTGGCGTAATCTCTGTCGCTTAGTCAAATGCAAAACTCAAAGCAATCTTGTATTATGTTGGTCACCTTGACCCTCAAAAGGTCAAACAAGGTCACTGACCTTAAATGAGGATATGACCTTTTGCTTAGAAACGGTTATTTAGGTTCTGGGGGCATTTTGAAGACCAGCCTGGAACTTTACCTTGTTTGACCTTTTTTACGCAAAGGTCATGTCCTAGGAACCTAAAACTTTGACCTGAGTGAGTTCACGTACAGTTCAACACATTTTGTACCTTTGGTGTCTCTAGCTCTCTTATTTCCAGAGATCTCAGGGGGGGGGGGGTTCAAACCGACCCTCCCAGCCCGAGCGAGGGGTATCTAGCCGGAAACCCGGGCGCGTGTTGAGTAGAGTATGTCCGTTGTCCATGCAAGTTGAGTTGTAAGAAGATGTATTCAGTGACTCCAGGTTAATCGGTCTCATGCCAGTCCCAGATATTCCAAAATGCTATGATGCAGAGCCTCCATCATGCCTACGTGCGTTGGGAAAATATGCCAGTTGCCGCTTCGTCGACACGTTTTTATAAAGCTCCGTTTGAATATTTGCAGCATTCAGAAGAGCCATGTTTTGTTGAAAGTCAAAACTCTTTCTGCTGTGCTTGCAGATGTTGTTTGGACGCCTCATGCATTAAATGAATCACAACTGCATAGTCGTATATGGAATGGAAATAGCTTATATGGCGAGATATTTAGTTTCACTCGAAACGCTATCAATAGAACGTTTTGAAACTGAGACGTTTGCAGCAACGCTCATACCTGCCATGATTACTAATGGGCGTATTTCCGTACCCTAACTATGCCAAGATTTTTCAAGAAGCAAAGTTAGTGTATGGAATGAGGGCGAATAATGGCGCAGGGAACAGAATGTATGGCCGCAGGAGACAGCTGTCACGGCCGGAAGACAAATGATTTGCAATGAGGCTGCACACTCACTGCAATAAATTGAGCAGCTGAGCACCCCTCCTGGAGATATCTCACCGAGTCTGCCACGACTAGCGGCAGTCTGGCCTTCAAATGACAGTCTCATTTGTATTTATCGTAAAGTGCTGAGGCAGTTTGCATGGCTGATAACACGTAGGACATATCTAGTAACGGTATGGCCTGGTTAGCCGACATCTTGGACTGAAGGCGTTTCCTGGTGGCTCGTTGAAGCTATCTATTTTCTGATACAAGCTGTGATACTTGATTAGCTAACAGCTGCAGGAACAGGCCACGGGAAGTCAGTCTTCCATTAAATTACATTGCAAATTAGCTCAATGAAATGGCGTTTCAGCCAATATTGGCATACCCATTATCTCCGATAAATTGGGATCGGTACTTCGAGCCCCTGTGCAGTCACCACTGTCTTCATTTAGCGGAGGCCGAAGCCGATCTGTCACGGCTGCAAAACCGACGTTCGCGACCAAAACCGTTCCGGCGCAAGATACGGCGTCTCGTTAAGAGGGACGGCAGACCGGCCCGAGGGATTTTGATGCATTCGCCGTCGGCGCGCCGTGCGCCGCCCGGCGGATCTGCGACGGTTCCGGCGCGGTTCGCGCGGGCGACGATCAATGGCGCAGCGGCGCTACCGGGTTGACGGTCGTGTTATGGCCGTGTCCGCGTGCTCCGGCGCTCGTAACGACGCTCCTTTTGTCTCTGCCCCATCGAGCGTTAAGGCACGGCCACAGAGGTGCCCCACGAAGTTGTCATCGGAGCGCTGGGCCGCTATTCAGATCAGGCCAAGTTAAGCCGATGCCGAAAGCCAAGCGCAAATGCGCTTCACCTGTGACATCGGTCTGTGGTGACAGCAAGACGGCGGGCGATGCGAAGGCTGCCTGACTTTAGAGCGGATGCGTTCGAGAGTCACACGGGAAGAGGTCGAAGTGCTCCAATTATTCGTTTTTGTGCCCATGTCCTGAAGCACCCGTTTTTGTGCGGAAAGTTCTGGGTGCGTGTTTGGCTACTCGTAAATCCGTTATGCAGGAACGATGATTATATAGGCTTGCATGCAGGTGAAGTGTGTTTTAGCTGGTGAATGCGATGCATGACACTCATATCCTGTCATGTGCCGGTGTTGGAAGCACTCAGCCTGAAGTCCCGTAGACACTACCACTCACTTCCTACCCATTGCTATTACGTAGGGCGAACTAAGCAAGTCGTTTGCTGTGCACTACAGGCACTCTTTTGGAACGCAGGGGGTCAATAGTCCACCTGCGGACGTCCCGGCGCCGCGCTCACCGGTCGCCCCTGCCCCAGACCTGCCGACCAGCGGCCCGGCGATCAGCGGCGGACGGGACAGCTACCGCATCGGCGACCTGGTGCGGCTCAACTGCACCTCTCCGCCCACCGTGCCGCCGCCTACCCTGCACTGGTACATCGACGGAGAGCGGGTGAGAGCGCCGAGCGGGGACGAGCGGCGGTGCCCAGCGGGCTGGCCCAGCTCTGGCCCGCTTCACCGCCGGTCGGCTGTTGCTCAGTGCCGCCCGCCATGACTGTCCGGACTTAGGACAGTGCGGGGTCACAGGCCGCTTCACGTAAGGTATGCGGTAGAGACGTGGTCCTCTGGTAGTGGGCTAGTTCGGTGGACTGTACAGTGGTCTGTTCAATCTGACGCCTCTCGGTGCTTGGAATGGACAAATGGGTGTCGAAAGAGATTGTGCAATTTACTGGTTTGCTCTCAAGTTTAATTTCCGGTCATTTTTATTCTTCTTCCATACTGCTGGCATTATGCCATGCCAGTGCTCTTTCAGTTAGGAAATGCCCCCAGACTCGTCGCCGTCTGGATTCCAAGAAAAGATCAAAGGACGCCGAATATCGACTGTTCAAGCGCATATTGAATTCAGCACAGATTAGAGCGTCTGATTGTCTGGCCCGGTCTGGGTAGAATGGTTGTCTGATGGAGGAATTCGGTATAGCCCGTGTCAAAGTCTTCTTTATTGACCAGCGCCGCTCAACTATTTCGGAACGGCCACTGGGCCGAATGACGTATTGTTTCCAGCACCGACACACCCCAGGCCCAACCGACCAGCTGCCCTTCACCACTCCCCAGGCGCACCCTGACCTGGTAACCCGGTACCCGCCGGTGAGGGCGCCTGACGGCACCGTCACCGTCACCAAGCAGCTGCGACTCACGCTGCTGTACAAGCACCTGGTGGCCACCGGCCGGCTGAACATTAAGGTGTGCCACGTCGACCGCCGTAGATGCGGACAGCCCACGGCCGAGCGGGGACGCCACCAAATGAGATGGGTCTGGCGTGCTGTCTGAAGTCATCATGGAGTAACACCTCAGTCTGCACACGACAGTTGCTGGCAGCTCGCACGCAGCATTACTTTGAAGTTGTTAAGATGCTGTGCACGAATCCAATGCAACTTCAACCGACACGGCGTACGATTACTCTGGAGTTCTATTGCTGCATGTTGGTGGCGCCTGACAGCATCAAGTACGCGTCTTGTTTGCAGTGTACGGCGTCCCTGGAGAACATCTACTGGAGGAGCCACGAGCGCCACGTACACGAGCACGTGGAGGCGAGGCCGGCGCGTGTCACCGGCAGAAGTGTCTCCAGTAAGTTACTGACAACACGGCTGAGTCTGACACGGTTCGGCAGTGGTCTTCGCCAAAGTCCATTACAAATGTAGTGAAAGCCCTGGATCTTTTGCCGGCTTGAGTTCCGACGTCGGATCGCGAGCCGTAGAGAAATGCGATCAATTAAGCGGGATGAAATGGACGAGCTGATATCAAATTGTTCGCGTCAAGCCCACACTGCAGGCTGGTATATGGCCCGGCCCGGGTCGGCCGAGCCGCCTTATAAAACTGGCCCCGGGGAAAGGGGACGGCTCACGGCAACACTTTTCCCGATTACAGAGCTCGCCACTGTTGGAGCCGAATGCAGTTCTCAGGAACGGGCACGTCACAGGGCTAGGTCTGCGAGAGTTGGATGTCGCTTTTGTATCAAGCTTGTGATGCATTTCAAATGCTTGCAGCGCATCTCAGACTGGTTGTACATAGCATAGTCCGGCCGTAAGACATCTGTATTTTGATTTGTCCAGATATCGGCATTATTGTTATCTATTGTTACGTAGCGACGAACGAGGACCACCTGATTTGGAAGTGGTTTGATTGTTACAGACAGAGATTTTGATAGTGTAGTTGTTAAGTTGAGCTTCTGAGAAATCAGAGGTAAGAGGTTTAATTCTCCGCGATGCCGCCCTTCCCGCCGGGATGAGCCACAGGCGATTCCATATAGTTGTTTTTTTGGATTAGAGCCCTTTCGACCAGGGGCTTTCAACTGATCATTCCAGGGTTATGGGATGAAGGGAAATGGTTAACGATGGGACAGACTAGCATGCCCCTGGCGGGCCAACCGCCGAGCTAAAACCCGCCCATGCGCGCTGGGTACCCGGTCGGGGTCCCCCTTCCCACGGGGCTGTCGGCCCACTCGTGGCTGACGCATGCAGCCCGCCCCGGATAAGCGGGGTGTCGCGAGGATGCAGGATGAAGCAAGATAGAGGATAAGAGGGACGGACTGAATCCGTACAGCCTCAGCAGCTGAGTTCGTCGTGAGGCACAATAGCGACGATCCTAATAGACTGTAAATTTAGAACTGATTCGAGCGTGATTTTGACCATGGCCTCACAGATGGCATCACCCATGACCTATCGTCTGTCTGGCCATGACCTGGTAGAGTCCACCTGTGTCAAATTAACATTTTTTTCTCTGCAGACGGAACGAGGCCACTGAATGCACAACAGAGGTGGCGGCTCCTGGTAGCGACAGCTACGCTACTGCTTCACAGTGTCGCCTGGAGGTGACAGCATCGTCGACCGCCAACTCGAAAACATCCCGCCGTCAATATCGAATTACTAGTGAAGGCGACGGTGAAGGACAACCCACCGGCTTGAGCATATGTAGCGGCGCATGCGCGATGGCGATGATAAAAAACAAACTAAATGGGCAGTGGCACATCATCGCCGAAAGTTGGGTGGTGCTTCAGCGCTGGATGAACAACTGACCGTGCGATTTGGGTTGACGCTCCTCCCGTGAATGCCTGCTACGTACCGTCTGGGAATGGGCGTAAGTAGTCATTGAGGGTCGAGCAGCAACACAATTCTACTGCTTTGGTGATTAGGTGTCATTAAAATGTGAGCTGAAATAAAAGTTAGGTTTAATGCTAATATGCCAACAAATTTCGTAAGATGCAGCGTTGCAGCGTATCGCAGGTAAATACACGTCTTACCGACCCACAGCACCGTAGCTTGCACATGTTTCGTATCTTTGCTCCATGACGTTGGTTTTAGGCATTGTTGGCTGTCGTCAGTAACAACCAGTGTAATGATAATGGAGGACAATGCTTTTGTAATCTGTGCATGTAGCGGACTTAAAACGAGCTTTTAGACTTTTTTATTAGTTCAAAGAAACACGGTTGTCAGTCGTATCGATGCGTTGGAGTCTCATAAGAACCACTTGCAGGATGCCAATAAATAGGCTGCATCGCCAGGCAGTTACATAATTTTCCATCGCTCATATTTTTCTGAGGCACGCACACTGCGAGCTGAAAAGGGCTATCTAGCATGGGGTGCACGGCAAAATGCATCCAAAGCGTCTTGCATACCAGGAATAAAAACTGCGCCATTTGGTTTAAAATAAATTTTACGACTGCTGTAAGCTTAACCCATAAGCGTCAAGCTCCAGTGGAAGCATATTGTCGATCATTATGTTGTGTCTGACAGCTCGGAATTTGCTGACGACCGTAAGTGACCCAATCCACGGCAAATAGACGAGTGGGTGGCTGGGCGAAGGAGTGCGCTTTATTTTACATCTTGATGAAACTGCTTCTTGGGCTTGTCCCTCGTTCATCCAACATTAATACCTTTAGAAAGATTGGCGCAGAATAAATCATGGAAGGGCAGGGGAAGAGAGTGGCCAAAAATATAAACTTTCTTTAGAGTTTTTTCCAGAGGTCACCGAACAAGAACATCTTGAGAGCTACTTACAGCATTGCATGATTGTCCGAATGGCACAAAACTATATACCGCCGAACTTTCATTGAACAACCGCATGTTTTCGCAGTAGTTAAGTTCTTATTTGGATACAATTTCAGATCATGTCCTTTAAACGTAAAGGTAGGCAACCAGTGATGGCCTCCGGTACGTTAGCTGTTTTTGAGAATGCAGAGGTAAATAATGATGCTGTTCCAAAAAAAGTTTCAATTTTAATGCTCTGAATGATGATTTCAAATCCGGAGTGCAAACCCAATTTTCCCTGCGTGTGCATAACTGTCAGCTGGAAAGCAAGTGGTTAGAAATGCACGCGCAATAAATATTTTTGACCTTTTAGTTACCCATTGTGTTTTGAGGGAAATTTTATCTTGAATATGTTTATTTTGTATCGCGCCACCAACTACTGATCTCGAGGCCGCTGATCTCTGCCTTGCCTGTCACTGGAGAGAGCCGACAAATGCAACAGTATGGATCAGGCAGACAGCGTGACGAAGGGCGCCCCCATATGACACGTGAAAAGGAGGAGACTTTAGCAGAATTAGAATATGAGGCACTGGAACGCCAACCTTACATGCTAGATCTTGTGCGTACTGATTTTTACCTGTCCGGTAGGTTAAAGAGGCGTATTAAATAGTAACGGCTTCCCTGCTGCTGTGATTTATCACACGTGGTGACGGATATCTGAACAGTTTTTGATAAATGGTGTTTTCATCTTGTTGCCGGATTGAAAGTGGGTATAAAGCGAAAAAAGGTATATAGACAATATGCAACATAACTTTGGGCTTAATTTTCATTCTGTCCAGAGTGCCTAACCCTTTTTGCCTGGTTAGACGATAAAGTACCTTAGAAAATTACCTTAACTAGTTCATATCTACAGTTAGCCATGTAGGCCAGGGTGAAGGGCTTATCGTTGCCATTAACCTCTAAAAAACCATTTCTATATCAAACCAACACCCCATACTTATTTCGGATAAGGTGTTGACGAATACCACACATGAAAACACACTGACATGAATTGGTCACTCCGAACTATACTTAGCACCTAACCGCTCGGTGTTTCCAGGGTGAGTCACTGCCAGCAATAACTTTACCCAAAATCAGGTGTCTCCTCCAACAACGATCTTCACCGAAACTCCTGTTGGTATCAGCTCCACATGGCGGAAGGCCACCTGGGAGTACGGACCGGCGGCAGAGCTCCGTTCAGCAAAACCCGCTCCTTCCCAATTCCAGCAGCTGTATTTCACTGGAGGCGCGCCTCCAGTCCCGGGAATGGCCGATGCATGGGTTCAGCGGCGTATGGGCGGATCAGCTCGTGATCCAGTGAAGCATGGCGCGGCTGGCCGCCGCCGCCGGGCGCGTGCCGAACTCTTCCGGAGTCGGCCGCCCGAACCCGTACATGGCAGCCATTCAGGCGATCGCAGACTGATGCGGCCGAACGACCGGTCGATGCTGTAAGTCGACGTGATCAAATTACCGAGACAAATCTCCGTGCCGCCAGAGAGTCGGTTCGCGGCCGGCTGCGCCAGAAGTCCTCCCAGCGACGAGCTGATCGGGCCATCTTGGGCGGCGGCGGCGGCTCGGACGTGGTCCCACCCCGACTGCGGGCTGGCCATCTGTTGAGAGTCAACTGGGACGGGGTGGCAGGCTGGACTGACTCGTTACTGGTGGCGCTACCGGTGTTATCCGTTTGAAGGGAACAGAGCCGAGGTCCAGCTTGTCTTTACATCGGTTCACTTGATCATGTCTGCAGCCACAGCTGCCCGGTCCGGCTGCCCGACTGCCCGGCTACCCAGCTGCTCAGCTGCCCGGCCCGGCGCAGTCCGGCCGGCCACGCTTTGGCGGGGTTATAACTCACGAACACACTGGAATTGCAGGTTCCCTTCTCCCTCCGTGTTTCGGGGACATTTTTCGAACCACCCTATGGCCTGACAGGTGATCGATCCAACAAAGCCGAAGGAAAAACGAGCCATGATAGGCCAGGACCATACGTCATGACGTCATCAGCAAAGAAATGCAATGCACGGTGACTATGTCTCGATATGCATTAATTTACAGTCTCCATTCTTTCCATTGAACGGAATGGAAAACGAAAATTTCGCTCAGACGTAATTTTAACCTGATTCTACGCTGAACATAATTTATTTCCAGCACTTCCAACCCACTATCCCATTATCATTATGCATGTGCAACTGATCCATTTTGCCTCCTTTACGAAAGAACCTTCACCGTGTCATGTAACCACACGATTGTCGGCTGCCCTGTGTCCAGGCTGAAAATTTCAAGCCAAATGACCAAATGACCCTCTTTGACGAGCCATACGCGAACAGTTGTGAAATATGAGCCTGCCACCGCGCGTTTCCCCGCGTCACGAATGTGGTCATCATATCTTCAGCCCTCTACCGAAGTTGTCTTCCGCCACGTTTGATGTGTCTAATCGGCAATATAGCTTTTTGTGCGATAATTTGACTCATTGTAGCCAACTGGCTCGGAGAAAGGTGATGTAAAAATGTTCTGTTTGTAAGATGCCCCGTTACTAAGCATCTTTGTCAAGTGATCCAATCATCCGTCACCTAGAAAGCAGTCAAGCACAATCAAACTCGGATAAATGAATGACACGATAATTGGGACAATGCTATTTTCTTTGACATTCCTTACACTTTTCGATGCAAAATTACGGGAAAGTTTGAGCTTAATCTGGAATCCCGTGGCCAAAATGTTCTTTCTTTCTTTTAATTATGTTCTTTTGCCATTGTGTGATTGTACAATTTATGCAGAGACGGTTGCGCCATCAGCGTCAGCTGCTAGATCCCGATTTACTTCACACACTCAGACAAAAATGTTAGCGAAATTCGTACCATGTCTCGTGCGTTTTTAATGCCACGTCTTGCCCAGTATTTCTCGAAGATTGGCAAAACACGGCTGGAAATGAGCCAGCCAATGAAAACATCAGTAACAGGGAAGAAACGTTCCTTTTATGTACATATGAGACACTGTTGCCAGCCATATCGCATTTCAGATAGCACTGAACTTCAACGAAGTCCAGCGCCAATGTAGGCACAACGACGAGAGTGAACGTGAGGTTCGCGCGAATAAACGACTCTTGTCGCCCGAATTATATTATATACATGACGTGTATGAAATGCCAGCAGGGGATTCGAGTGGTGGGGATGAAGTACAGGGATGGATGGAGGAAGGGCCATGGCCGGACGTTCATCGTTCATCCCTTGCACGAACTCTTGAGACATAATGCTCCGTTGAAAATTTAGGATTTTGGCTTGTTGGACCCTCCTGGGGGATTTCACCCTGGAACCTGATAAATTGACGACTTTTAGCTCAGCACACGGCGAACTGTTGCATACGTGATGGTTTGACATTCAAATTTTCCAGGCATCCTGAACTTTAAGTGAATGTTTCACATCTGAAGGTGTTAAAACAGGCAGAAGATATGCTGAAACAAGCTCACTTATAACTATTGGTATACTTTTAGTGGAAAAGGATGCCAAGACAGCAAAATTCTTTTTTAAGTAAATATGCTTCTCAACGCGTCATGGTTTGATCATCAACCGATGCGTCATCGTACCTTGCTCAGTATTGATGGACAACCATTAGACGGCCGCTATATTTAAAAAGTGCAGTCACGAACACCAGATATAAACGCGTCAACAATTATATTTTTTTGGCCCTGATCACGGCATGGCAAGTATGAAGTGGCAGGATTCGAATGACGTTATTATGACGTCATGAATGCCAGAATGACTGAAATATTTTCCACAAAAAACTCTCCCTATTTTCGCAGGCGTGTAGCTCGGGAACTGGAGAAGCTTAGGTCTTACCCGGCAGGATTGTGCAGCACCAAATATTGAAGGTGCAAAACATGACGGGTGGGAATATGGAGTCATACACATTGGGCCACGACAAAAAATGTTTATTAACAAAATGGCAAAGGCTAACGAGGTAGCTGAGCCCATTATACCCATGCGCGCGTCCGAGCGCAAAAGGGCCTATCCCCTTCCATGCCACGCAGAAAATGCTGACGACTCTTTTGC